TTTGTAATAATGCATGATGATTTTGTTGTTATTACTGTAAACTCCAACCCGCCATTATTATTTATTTAAAGGTTGTTGACAACATTATTCCATGAGAAACTATGGTAACTATTACAGATAATTGTAGAGGTTATCGCTTAAAAATCAAATATATTAAATAAATCAAATAATTCACTGACTGCTGGTTAGAGACAACAAAGTGTATAAAGAGATTGAATGACACTGAGGTATCCAGTAGAAATGAGCCCATACCTGCAGTATCACTAAATCACATATTTGACCAGGTGACTCCCAATGAAATGCAAATTAATACTATAATGTCCACTATAATGTATGAGACTGTGAATGAGACCACTCCTTCAGTATTGTAATACTATTGGGTTCTCTGACTGCTAAAACATGTCTGTAGTAGGGACTGTATGTTGGAGCAGTAAGTATCAGAAGGCAGCAGGATCAGGTGCAAAATAGAGTTCAGTTTATTAACAGTGAAAAAGTGGTTCCAGGTTAAGTTGTAGTAAGGCAGAATATTTACAGAACATCTACAACATATTTACATTGAAAATCAGATCAGGGCTGGTCCTTGCAGTTCTGCCACCCTAGGCGAGACCAAAAAATGACGTATTTTCCAGATGTTGAAGTTAGGTTCAATTTAGGTTCTGAATGAAAGGTGAAAATACGTATTTTCCAGATGTTGAAAATATATGTTTTCCAGGAGGTTGAAAAGGCATATTTTCCAGACGTTGAAAAATTTGTATTTTCTGGACATTGAAATTAGGTTCATTTTCGGTCTATGATTGGTTCAGATTTGGTCCGGACTGGACCAAAACCCAATGTCAGTGGATGTGGAAATCAAGGCCGGTCAGGACTGCACCAAAAGAAACGTCCAAAAAGCATTGGCCCGTGCTTACTGAGGTGTAGCCTACAGTGTTGCCTGAAATGGAATTTTATGAATGCCCATCTACAGTGGGGAGAACAAGTATTTGATACACTGCCGATTTTGCAGGTTTTCCTACTTACAAAGCATGTAGAGGTCTGTAATTTTTATCATAGGTACACTTCAACTGTGAGAGACGGAAACTAAAACAAAAATCCAGAAAATCACATTGTATGATTTTTAAGTAATTAATTAGCATTTTATTGCATGACATAAGTATTTGATACATCAGAAAAGCAGAACTTAATATTTGGTACCTTTGTTTGCAATTACAGAGATCATACGTTTCCTGTAGGTCTTGACCAGGTTTGCACACACTGCAGCAGGGATTCTGGCCCACTCCTCCATACAGACCTTCTCCAGATCCTTCAGGTTTCGGGGCTGTCGCTGGGCAATACGGACTTTCAGCTCCCTCCAAAGATTTTCTATTGGGTTCAGGTCTGGAGACTGGCTAGGCCACTCCAGGACCTTGAGATGCTTCTTACGGAGCCACTCCTTAGTTGCCCTGGCTGTGTGTTTAGGGTCGTTGTCATGCTGGAAGACCCAGCCACGACCCATCTTCAATGCGCTTACTGAGGGAAGGAGGTTGTTGGCCAAGATCTCGCGATACATGGCCCCATCCATCCTCCCCTCAATATGGTGCAGTCATTCTGTCCCCTTTGCAGAAAAGCATCCCCAAAGAATGATGTTTCCACCTCCATGCTTCACGGTTGGGATGGTGTTCTTGGGGTTGTACTCATCTTTCTTCTTCCTCCAAACACGGCGAGTGGAGTTTAGACCAAAAAGCTATATTTTCGTCTCATCAGACCACATGACCTTCTCCCATTCCTCCTCTGGATCATCCAGATGGTCATTGGCAAACTTCAGACGGGCCTGGACATGCCCTGGCTTGAGCAGGGGGACCTTGCTTGCGCTGCAGGATTTTAATCCATGACGGCGTATTGTGTTACTAATGGTTTTCTTTGAGACTGTGGTCCCAGCTCTCTTCAGGTCATTGACCAGGTCCTGCCGTGTAGTTCTGGGCTGATCCCTCACCTTCCTCATGATCAGTGATGCCCCACAAGGTGAGATCTTGCATGGAGCCCCAGACCGAGGGTGATTGACCGTCATCTTGAACTTCTTCCATTTTCTAATAATTGCGCCAACAGTTGTTGCCTTCACACCAAGCTGCTTGCCTATTGTCCTGTAGCCCATCCCAGCCTTGTGCAGGTCTACAATTTTATCCCTGATGTCCTTACACAGCTCTCTGGTCTTGGCCATTGTGGAGAGGTTAGAGTCTGTTTGATTGAGTGTGTGGACAGGTGTCTTTTATACAGGTAACAAGTTCAAACAGGTGCAGTTAATAGAGGTAATGAGTGGAGAACAGGAGGGCTTCTTAAAGAAAAACTAACAGGTCTGTGAGAGCCAGAATTCTTACTGGTTGGTAGGTGATCAAATACTTATGTCATACAATAAAATGCAAATTAATTACTTAAAAATCATAATGTGATTTTCTGGATTTTTATTTTAGATTCCGTCTCTCACAGTTGAAGTGTACCTATGATAAAAATTACAGACCTCTACATGCTTTGTAAGTAGGAAAACCTGCAAAATCGGCAGTGTATCAAATACTTGTTCTCCCCACTGTATGTGGAAAGCCTACAGTTTGTAAAAGAAAACAAAAATATGTCTGGTCTGGACAGGACCAAAAAAAGATGTTCAAAAGACTTCGGCTCGTGCTTACTGGGGTGTAGCCTATCATATCGGCCCACAATGGAATTTTATGAATGCCCATCCATGTGGTAGGCCCACCATTTGTAAAGCAGGCCGTTGCATTGGCTTTATTAGTCCTGATTCCTGTGACTAATCAATTTGGCTATTTAAGCTTTGAATATCAGCTACCCAACTTTATCAGGAGTTATCGTGAGTCTATTTGCAATGTGTTTACACAGTATTTTCTTTTTCGCTATGGTCAGCTTGTCAATAATTGACGGATACAAACTTGAACCCCAGATCATGTCAATAGGGTGAAACTCCTGGACAACAGTTGTGATTGTCCATTCCATATTGTCCATTTTACTTTAACCTGTCCTGTTTTTAGGATATGTTGTTTGTTAACATAACACATTTTTTATTTGATTGGGCGCAATTTAGGTTAGGCTATTTGATCGGAGAAACCTCCATGATTTAAAGTGTCCATCTCATTACACTGTCATACATTTTATCTCTAGCCCGTAGGCTACAGAAAAGGCCACATACTCTTTCTACCATATCCTATATCTGCTTTATGTTAGATAATTTTTTTGACGGAAAGTTGTTGGATAGGCACGCTGGGAATGGACAAGCAAAATATTTTGCGCCCCTGCCTTTGACAAAGTGGGCACTACTTATCACAGAGTGGCATCAACACTCACCTAAAAAGCCCTTATGCCACTGGTTGAGAGAGATTGTTATTGTTTCGGGGCAGAATTATGTGAGGTTTTACGTGTTGTTGTTGGAGGTGCGTCTTGGTCAGTTTAGCTCAGAAAATGCCGCCCTCGTTAATCTGCTGCCGTAGGCGGCCGCCTAATCCTGCCTAATGAGCGAGCCAGCCGTGAATCAGACTCTCATATAATTAGTTTTGATAATCTGATATAAAAAACTAAATCTAAACACCAATCAGGCCTGCCCTGCCAAACCAACTATAGCAAGTTGGAGTATACAATACCTTCAGGCTATGGACAGCCTCCCCACAAAGCTCACATGCATGAGCTAGAACATAACTAAAGAACATTGTTGAAACAGGTACATACTGTATGTACAGATGGCCCCTCCCTCTGGACCATACCCACGGAGCTCTATTCACCAAAAGTTACATTTCCTGCCTAAATAGACATCTTAAACATTCCTGTCTTAATCTCAAAGCGGGAACACTTTCAATAAATGAATATACGCTTCGTAATAATAGTTCTGTAGGCCAACAGGCGGCAACACGTAGGCCTATTACTAATGAGCCGCGCACCTGCGCATGCTCCCATTACACACAAATGACAGACATGGACCTACAAATAAAGGTTAAATATATTTATCGTCAGTGTAGCGAGTGTTCATGTGCAAATGAACATCACATGGACTTGGAGGATTGCAAACGGGTAGGCCTAAATTACTGCATTCAAATATGAAACTGAAATGGCCAAAATGTAACTTCACCAAACATTAGTGGCAATATGTACATTTTTGGGCAACCTGACCAAATTCACATTGAAATGTTTGTTATAGATCTGTAATTCTCATTTAAAGTCTAACAAGCAGTAGATTTGTTCTATGTGCGGTATTTCTATGCTCCCCGTTCTTAAGTTAAGTTTTTGCTTCTTTTACTTTCGGTTTTGTACACCAGCTTCAAACAGCTGAAAATACAATATTTTTGGTTATGTAAAATATATTTCAGAGCGGTTTAGATTGTACAATGACTCTCTACACTGCTTGTTTTGTCACATAAACTAAATATAAAAATATGAACACTCCAAACCATTTATAAGGGGAAGTAAACAATGAGCCTTCCCATGATGAGAGTGGCTTCTTCACACAGTCCTTAACATATGCATGTGAGAAGATGGGCCTAGCAATGGCCCCAGCTAGCAGGCAGAGGGCCATACTACAACTGTGAACCAGTGTTGCCAGGTTCTATTGACACTTTCCTGCCCAATGCACAAAAAACTAAACATTTTGCCAGCCCAATGACAAAACAATTGTTTGTAAAACTGCCCAATTGTTTGTAAAACCGCCCAATCTGGCAAAACTGCTGTAAACCCTGGAACACACCTTGAAAGACAGACACAACAAGACATGCCCAGAAACAGCAAGCCTGAATGGGATTTCCAAAAGCAAGTGAACATATTCAAGTGAACCTATATCACCAACTGTACCTACAGTACCTATACCTCAATTCTATCCACAACATTCTATCCCTTTGGGAAATCTCTAGCTGTAAGATTCATTCAGCTAGAGTGGAGATTATTATTTGTAGTGTGGTTTGACACAACAGTTTAGACAAATAAAAAAAGCTGTCCTACTTGCTCTCCTAGATTCCTGTGATGTCATTAGTGGCGTAGAGATTGCCAAACAACAAGCCACGGAGGAGCGCAATGAGTGGTGTGTGTTTTGTGTGTATGTGGTTTATTGCGACAGTTGTCTAGGTGTGCTTGGCAGAGGCAATTGGTGACTGTGTTTGTTGAAGGACATAACCAAGTAGGTGAACTCTCTCTGTTCATTTCTCTCCATGTGTCTCTCTATCTCTCTCCTTTCTCTGTTTGTTTTTGTTGTGTGTGTGTGCCTATTCTCTCTCTGTCTGTTGTGTTGTGGGAGGGTGAGGCGGGCCACTGGCCAGCCATATAATTGGACATGATAAATATAGTGGTTTCCTGTGGTGGGGTTGAGAGCTAGCCAGTGGGCTGTAGCCAGTGTGAAAGCAATGCCAGATGAGGTGTGAACTGTGAACCAAAATGAACATTTGAGACTTTCTTTCACTTTCCCTATCTCTGCAAAGCGATGTGTGAGAGTGTGAGAGAAATCAAAAATAATAAAAGGAGACAGCCGATAAGAGGAGAGGGCGAAAAAGGGGTAGTTGATAGACAGCGAATCTGGAAACTTGTCGTGTCAGCTTAACATTGAATGGTTGCCTCTTCAGATTTGGCCATTTTCACCTGGCAAAGATGGACAAGGGCAACATGGGCCCCAAGAAGACGTTTGTGTCCACTTTTCGGATGGACTTTAAGCCTGCCGCCCCTCAGTTTGTGTTGAAAGGGATCAAGAATGGGCTGGAGGATCGGGGCACTGCTCAGGGGGGTAGCAGCAAGCAGGGAACTATATCAACAGGTAAGGAATCCGTTTGAACTATTTTAAATCAATGGAATCAGGTTTACTGTTGTCATCAATCAGATATTTCTGGCTCTAGAAGAATGGGACTCAGACCTTCTTTAAAAATAGCATAGTGCTTTATCGTAGCAATGGCAGTGATCATTTTAGCCATCATTTTGTAGTTACAGTTGAAGTCGGAAGTTTACATACACCTTAGCCAAATGCATTTAAACTCTGTTTTTCACAATTCCTGACATTTAATCCTAGTAAAAATTCACTGTCTTAGGTCAGTTAGGATCATCACTTTATTTTAAAAATGTCAGAATACTAGTAGAGAGAATTATTTATTTCATCACATTCCCAGTGGGTCAGAAGTTTACATACACTCAATTAGTATTTGGTAGCATTGCCTTTAAATTGTTTAACTTGGGTCAAACGTGTCGGGTAGCCTTCCACAAGCTTCCCACAATAAGTTGGGTGAATTTTGGCCCATTCCTTCTGACAGAGCTAGAATAGTTAGCATACTAGCTAGCCATTGCTTTCTGCCAACGAAAAAAAAAACTCTTCCCACGGCACGAACACACAGAGAGAGCCAAGCTAACGTTAACTAGTCACCCATGTCCCGAATTCCCTTGAACGACTCTGGTTACCAGTATGTAAAAACAAAACACAAATGTAGGTTATAACTTACCCCTAGCAGCTACTGTTAGCTAGCCAAGTGCAAAGCTAGCCACTGAATCGACTCAGCCAGTTCGCGTCTGTTTGCTAGGTCGTTCCAGCTATTGTTTAGTAGCTATCCAGGTAGCAACAAGCTAGCTACATTTCGAGTACAGTAGCTACTTACTACCTAACGTTAACGCTTCAGACAATGAGGTTAGAATAACAGCTGAATGGTAGGCAGCTAGATGGCGTAATTACAGGTACTCTTAAGCGTGAAACAACTATCCACAGTTGCTAATAGTTACCAGTAGCTACCCGCTAGCTAGTCTAGGTAGTGGGTTAGCTAGCCTCGTGCTTCACCGGGCTCAGCCGAATACAATACTTACAATACTTACATACAATAACCTACGATAACTACAATAACCTACGATGACTACCTACAATACCTAACTACAATCTAAATACATAGTTTAAGCTTTACTCGACACCATATAAGCCATATAAGCTTATATAAGCTTATATAAGCTATATAAGCCAAGCTTACCTCCCACCAGAGAGAGACACAACCTCACCCGACGACTGCAACGTTGATAAAATGATGTCAATTAGCCTATCAGAAGCTTCTAAAGCCATGACATCATTTTCTGGAATTTTCCAAGCTGTTTAAAGGCACAGTCAACTTAGTGTATGTAAACTTCTGACCCACTGGAATTGTGATACAGTGAATTATAAATGAAATAATCTGTCTGTAAACAATTGTTGGAAAAATGACTTGTGTCATGCACAAAGTAGATGTCCTAACCGACTTGCCAAAACTATAGTTTGTTAACAAGAAATGTGTGGAGTGATTGAAAAACGAGTTTTAATGACTGCAACCTAAGTGCATGTAAACTTCCGACTTCAACTGTATGTGGGAGTTTTTGGGCATTGGTCCTATGTGAATCTCATTGATTGAACTCTTTGCCCTGAAGAACAAGAACTCTGTTTAGGACATTTGAGCAACTGACCCTCACTGATCATCCTAAACCTAATTAGCATATGATTCAGAGGTGTTTGCATGACTCTCGAGGTAAGCAAGCCCCTAGACTAGTGCTGTATGTTCGCTGTTATTATCCTACCTTACTGTATGGCCAGAAGGCTCTTTTTTGTTTTGTTGATTTGACAATATCAACATGGTCAAATGTATTTGTGTTATCTATGCAACTGCACCTTATAAAATGTTCAAATAATTCCGGTTATAATTATTACATGTGTTGAATGCATGAGCCTTTTGCCAAAACATTGGTGATGTAAAATAAATAACACTATATACAATGCAGAATACAACCTTCATTAGGGGTTCAAGCCAGCGAAGCTGCCTTATATTTAAATCTAAAAAGGATTACATTTGTTTGTCTTTCCCTGCTGATCTACCCAACGAACATTTATAAAAAAACACAAATGTATTGATTCCATATGTCCTCAAACCCCAGAGTTAAAGAAGCACTCCAGAACTGTTTCTGTTGAAAAACAATATCCCACGTATAAATACAGTAATGTACACACATTTAAGGGTAAAAACAATTATTTTGAGCAAAATAGTGTTTTTTAGACACAACTGCAAACTTCAAGGAGTAGGCCATTCAAGGAGTTGGTCTGATAGTGTGCTCTGATGTCATCGGCCTCCCCGCTTGCTTAAGGAACAATAGAGGACCAAAAGAGAGCGAAAGAGGAAAGGCCCACCCCCCCATTTGTGCAATGACATGAGGATACCTGGACCACCTATTGAGATATGCCTTTTGTTAAGTAAATCAGGTGAACAAGTTCTGACCATAGCCTTTCGCTTTGAAATTAGTCAACTCGATAGAGGGCGGTTCAGAGAAACCACACTTAATTGCTCCGAAATGAGTGAAGACGGTGGAGTGTGGGTAGTGTTATAACCACACTCGATCGCTTTGAAATGAGTGGAGATGGTGGATTACGGTTAATGTCTGGGGGATTTTCATAGTGGGTGGCCTAACTTGATTATAAAAGGGAGGACTAGAATGATAGGAAATTATTATTATTTTAAATGCTAAAGATCTGCTAGACTTGTTAGTATTCTGAGGTAGTTTTACTTACAACCTGGGGAGCTAGTTATGCATTAAGGTGTTTGATGCCGCTACTGTGTGCAGGTGTACTGCCGTTAGCGCAAGACGAATTGTTACTCTAACTTACAAGAAGTTAACATTTTATCGAATCATACTATTGAGTGAACTGCTGTATTTGTATTACTTTGATGGTTATTATTATTAGTTTAAATGTTCTAGAACGTATTTTTTTATTAGTGTTAGCTTTTCTCCTCTCTCAGCCCACAATACGAACTAACAGGAAGTCCTTTAGAGTTAGCCCTGGCTTGGGCAGTAATGTCACCATTAAAGAGTGAGTGGGATAATTTGGAATTCAAATTCCAAAGTTCCCGTGTCATTCCAGGAATAGAGTGTCTTTTGGGTAGTGTAGTTTTGTAAAAGATAACTGTTTATTTCACCTCATTTTAACATTCCGTCATAAAGAGCACATGTTGAACTTCATAACAAACATGTTTTCTTATCTCCAGAGGTTAAATTAAGAAAAATGAAAAATATGAAAAGTAACATCCTGACCGTAACAGGGTTGACCGTAACAGTTAATCTTAAATGTAACTGAATGTAATCGAACATGTAATCTACGTAATCCCCAAAAGTCATTATTTATCATGAGAGGGCCTTAAACAATAACTAGTAATGCTGCATACTCCAAGAAAGGTTAAAATCTCACCTTTCTGGTAAAAATAGTTACAAATTGCTTCGTTGTACTTTTGAGGACACAAGCTCAAGTACACAGTACAAATATTATAAAAATATGAAATATGTTATATGACGTATTTCCTACTCAACAAAACGGTACGAATAAGGTTTGAAATTACATTTTTTCGAAATACACTATATATACAAAAGTATGTGGACATCCCTTCAAATTAATGGATTCGGCTATTTCAGCCACACCTGTTGCTGACAGGTGTATAAAATCGAGCACACAGCTGTGCAATCTTCATAGACAAACGTTGGCAGTAGAATGTCCTTACTAAAGAGCTCAGTGACTTTCAACATGGCACTATCATAGAATGCCACCTTTCCAACAAGTCAGTTCGTCAAATTTCTGCCCTGGTCAACTATAAGTGCTGTTATTGTGAAGTGGAAATGTCGAGGAGCAACAACGGCTCAGCCGCGAAGTGGTAGGCCACACAAGCTCACAGAACGGGACCGGCGAGTTCTGAAGCCCGCAGCACGTAAAAATGGTCTGTCCTCGGTTGCTACACTCACTACCAAGTTCCAAACTGCCTCTGGAAGCAATGTCAACACAAGAACTGTTCGTCGGGAGCTTCATGAAATGGGTTTCCATGGCCGAGCAGCCGCACACAAGCCTAAGATCACCATGCGCAATGCCAAGCGTCGGCTGGTGTGGTTTAAAGCTCGCCGCCATTGGACTCTGGAGCAGTGGAAATGCGTTCTCTGGAGTGATGAATCACGCTTCATTATCTGGCAGTCCGACGGACGAATCTGGGTTTTGGCGGATGCCAGGAGAACGCTACCTGCCCCAATGCAGAATGCCAACTGTAAAGTTTAATTACATTTACATTTTACATTTTAGTCATTTAGCAGACGCTCTTATCCAGAGCGACTTACAGGAGCAATTAGGGTTAAGTGCCTTGCTCAAGGGCACATAGACAGATTTTTCACCTAGTTGGCTCGGGAATTAGAACCAGCAACCTTTCGGTTACTGGCACAACGCTCTTAACCACTAAGCTACCTGCCGCCCCGGAGGAGGAATGATGGAGGAGGAATGATGGAGGAGGAATGATGGTCTGGGGCTGTCTTTCATGGTTCGGGCTAGGCCCCTTAGTTCCAGTGAAGGGAAATCTTAACGCTACAGCATACAATTACATTTTAGACGATTCTGTGCTTCCAACTTTGTGGAAACAGTTTGGGGAAGGCCCTTTCCTGTTTCATCATGACAATGCCCCCGTGCACAAAGCGAGGTCCATAAAGAAATGGTTTGTCAAGATCGGTATGGAAGAACTTGACTGGCCTGCACAGAGCCCTGACCTCAACCCCATCGAACACCTTTGGGATGATTTGGAACACTGACTGTGAGCCAGGCCTAATCGCCCAATGTCAGTGCCCGACCTCACTAATGCTCTTGTGACTGAATGGAGGGGGAAGCTTGTTGTGTGCAATTGAACGCAAGCTTAACAAAACATTTCTAGCCTACCTATCTATGGGTAATAGGGTTGGCGTGTTATGCTCAATGTTGGCATGTATACTTAGTTTTCCACCACAAAACACCAGAAAATGGGCAGAAAGAGTAGAACCAGCTCACTGGTTAAGTGCACAGTGATGAGCTTCATGCAAAATTCAAATAAATATTGAAAGCATTATTTCAGTGCTGGTGACATGATGATCAGTGCTTGGCTGCCAATTATCAAATAAAAATGATATTGCTCTTATTGAGGAAACTCGTTCGAGGAATTATTATTATTCAAGCGATTGTAAGGAAGATCACTCTCAGGATGAACCCGGAGAGTAACTTCCAGGATATAGCGGAAAAGAACTCTCAGGATATACCGGAAAGGATCTCAAAGATTTTACAATCACACAGTCTTTATATACTTCATCTACACAAAGAGTTATACCACCTTCTTGGGGGAGGTAAACTACTAATAAGAGATAAGTGTAATTGGCTCCACTTCCTTAGAAAAATAGTACAATAACAGGTTGTAGTAACCAGTTCTCACAGCCTATATGTCTAAGATAGAGGAGTGATAAGATATTTAAAGCCTAACCAGAGGAAACTACATTTCAGCCTGGCTTTTAGTGCCCTATAGACAATGAGCCAGTAATAAATTACTCCTCTGTGCGGTATGTAAAGAGGTTACTGGACAGATGTGGAAATGTACCAGTGAATAGCACTACTCAACTCAAGCATTTAGAAAGCGTTAGACTGCAACAAACCAATTTTGCGCCAACACTCTAATCCATATCTCATCATGTAACCTACCGTCCTACCCTGTCGACTTTATCAGCGAACTGTTTATAGAGCATGTGCCAAAACCAAATTGGGCAAGTGTGCTATTTATCTCAACAGTTTTTGTGACAAAACCATCAGTAGAGTTGAAAATGTGATGGAAACACACTGAGCTTCTGTTTTGTATTCGGTACATGGAATCTTTAAGTATTTTTATACTACGTCAACACACACAGCTTTTTATCCGCAAGTCTGTTTGATAGAAAACACACCTCTGGTGGGAAAATGTGCAAATACTGTATTTTTTATGCAGATTTTAGAATATTTGCTGAAAATCTGTCGCCAATTGGATGGAAACCTAGCTACTGACATGAAAGGCACTTCATTCTTGGAATGACCCTCCCGCTTCCAGGTGTGAATAGCATGTGACACTATTTATTATCCTTACATTTGCCTAGGATGTGGTGTGTTGGTCTATGGTGTTTATTTACATGTATTTGGTGGGTACTGCTCGATGGGGCCTCTTGTGTTCCAGAAAATAAACTAACCGTCATCTGTCCACGGAAGGCACCTCACTTCACAGAGCCTCTGCAGGACCGCACAGCGGAGGAGGGAAGTGACTTCACAATTCAAGGTATTATCACAGGAAGTCAGCCCCTCAGCTTTTCCTGGTTACACGAAGGTGAGAGGGCAACCCTCAGGTTCCTGGCGACAACATGTCATATTTTATCTTTCATAACAAAGGAAATACTTTTTAGATGACCAGCACGCACTCTAAGGCTGCATCCCAATTCTATATCCTTTTCCTGAAGTGTGCACTTGCACACTGACTGTCATGGATTTAAAAGCTTTGGATGGTGTAAGCATTAGCTGGAGTGAATTTCCACAATTGAAAAATCCATTAAAGGGAGTTTGCAAATGCACGTTTCGGAAGGAGGGTAGATAATTGGCACCCTTTTTTTTTTTTTTTCACCTCTGGAGCCTCTGAAACCAGTATATCAATGTTCTACATAAAGCTTCTGTCTACCTCTTTATCTATTGTCTTCACAAAACAATGGAACAGAAAAAGAAACAATCGCCAAGACTAGTGACAAGAAGTTCCCCAGTCAGTCCTCAGACAAGGAAGTGGAGAGTAGAAGTACAAGAGCCTCCTCCACTCCTCAACACACAAGTACCCACAGAGACGAGAAGGGGATAGGTACAATTCACACCGTTCATTTCAAATCCTATTTATCTTCAACTTTGTACCCTCTACATTATATATTTTGTTAGTTTCTTCCTTCTATCCTTTCTTTCTTTCCACCCCTCATTGTTTCCTCCTTCCTCACTCTCTCTAGTCACTGATTGGTTGAAAGCAGTGCAGGGGAAACCACCCCTTTATTTATCCAATAATGTCAGGTCAGTGACAATTTAAAAGGGGGCTGAACGTCCTGATTTAGCCTCGTTTTTCGGCTTGGTCATTAAGAAATGCAGCGGACATGACTGAAGCCAAATGAGAGTGGGGGGGGGGGGCTTTAATGTGGGTGTCTCTTGTGTGTGTGTGTTCGCAGTTGGCAAGCATTTGTACATTGACTTTGCCAAAACAGTACACAGTTACAGTCACTCATCCTTCTATATAACTTGAAACAGTCTAACCAGGTCTTGTGTCTTGAAGTCACCTAGGCTAGCTAGTGCTAGCCAACTTCTTTCACCAATTAGCTTCAGCCAGCTGGTTTGCACATCTTTTAGTTGTCTCATTAAATGCTTTCAATATTTGTATATTCATTTCTACAGTTTATAGTTGTTTTGAGGTTTATAAGTCTTATTTTTTTTACTGATGGTTCCTAACTAGCCCCATAGGGATATTGAATGTCAAACCAAATTGACCATGGGCATTAAGATTAGGTCGCTTGCAGATACACTCTGAATTGATGATTACTTGGGTGCTGCCAGCTGTGGGCAGGATTGAAATAAACCCAACCCAAGGAAAACTGTTGAGGTACCCTTCATTCCGTGACATACAATTTCTTCCTATCATCTCGCAAATCTCAGTTTTGGACGAGACTGACTTTTTGACCAAAAATACCCTATTTACACTTTGTAGTTAATTTTGACAGTTAAATAAATGTTTCTGACTCATATCGATGCCACAGTCCGTTTTCAAAAACGAGAAGTTGCTGGAAGGAAAGAGGGAGGCATGGAAGGAAAGAGGGAGGCATGTAAAAAGCATTTGAACTGGGTGTCAGAGTTTTTGTACGGGGAAATTCAAGGGGTTTTCTCACATATGGCGAATCAAAGATGATCTATTATACTGACAAGATGGAAATACATGTCCTCAAAAATGGAAGGCAGGCGGGATCAGGTGGGACCATTCTAACCAATTAGAGGGCAGATACGCAGGCATAACTCAGATAAAATGTTGTTTTTGTTGTTGAAATGCCACGTGTCCACTTATCAATGCATTAGTAACAACCTAATAAGTAAGCATTTCACTGTAATGTCTACACCTGTTGTATTCGGCGCATGTGGCCAATAAAATTTGATTTGATTTTATCATTAAAAAACATATTAGATCAAATTAGCAATTAATTTATTGTTGACCAGATTTGACACTTTCATTGACCTCCATACAAAATGTATTCGCTTTGTGGTCTAATTTTCATGAAAAAAATGTTGGTGGACTAAACCCTCTCGCTTCACGTCTTTCTCTCTGGCTGAATTCCAACTGACGAATAGTCCATACTCCTTTGATAGGTGGAATCATAGAGCTAGATAGAGGACCCATCTTTATATATGTGCCATTATAGCGTCTGTGACACCATGGGCAGCACCATTGAGGTTACAACCGATAGGAATCTACTTTAAGAAGGCAGAAGCATCGTGGAAACCCTCAATGGTGCTGCCCATGCTAAAACAGCCTTTGGGCCACTAGAGGCCTCTATCATTCTCAATGGGTGGAATCAATATGGCAACATTTTCACCCAGCCTATTAGTGTAGTTCATTACTATCAGCTGGTTCTATTTCAGTGATTTCAGCCAATCATTAGTCATCACAAACAAATTGGTTCAACCCTCAACCACTCTTGATATCCTGTTTGATACCTACCTGTCCAAGGGAAGATCTCAATTGCATACTCCTCGCGCCTCGTCTTCTTCTCAAAACCCATTGGTGGAGAAGTTCAGAGGGACGGGACCTCTGGCTTTCTTATCCAATGGTTTTTGAGAAGGACACGATGAAGGGAGAAGATGGCGGAAAAGGAAATAAGGAAGAAAGGGTTATGAATAAACATGGAGTGGGGGATTGCACAGGCCTTCTGAAAGATCTGGTGAAGGAGAAGATGATGGACATGAAAAAAAGGAGAGACAATTTTTGAATGAATATGGAATGGAGGATCGCACAGGACTTTTGGAAGAGCTTGAGGAGGAAATGGGACAGGACAAGAGTGAGGATGAATTCAATGTGGTGGCAGGTGCAGTGATGACTGCTGAGAAGAAGTTGAGTGTAGAGGGAAGTAGTGAGGTGAGGAAGGTTGGCGTCAAATGCAAGAACAGGGATACGTGCTCCAATAGTTCAGAGATGGAACTTGTTGAGAATGAGGGTGAACTACCTGCGGCGAGGATCGCCGAAGAGAATGGATCCTTGCTGTTTGGTTGATCCATATGTGGTGTCAGGTTGGGTGGAGGAGAGGTTGGGGGACTATTGAGTTGGTGAATGTGACTTGGAGTGGATTCATGATGATTTATTGTGTTTCCTCCACCCAGAGGAAGAGGGCGCTCCAGATTACGAGATTAGGGACAAGACTTGTGACGTGCTTTGCTCTCTGGAGCATGATAACGGGGGTGGCATTAAGTGTTGATGAGGAGAAGTTGAAATTGAAGATTCCTGGTGTCTGTGACGCCCGCCACTTGATGAGACGTAGATTCAGTGGGGAAACGGAGAAGACATTATGTCATGCTGAGTTTTGATGCAGAGTCGTTACCAGATACAGTTGAAGTCGGAAGTTTACATACACCTTAGCCAAATACATTTAAACTCAGTTTTTCACAATTCCTGACATTTAATCCTAGTAAAAATTCGCTGTCTTAGGTCAGTTAGGATCATCACTTTATTATTATGTCAGAATAATAGTAGAGAGAATGATTAATTTCAGCTTTTATTTCTTTCATCACATTCCCAGTGGGTCAGAAGTTTACATACACTCAATTAGTATTTGGTAGCATTGCCTTTAAAATCTTTAACTTGGGTCAAACGTTTCGGGTAGCCTTCCACAAGTTTCCCACAATAAGTTGGGTGAATTTTGGCCCATTCCTCCTGACAGAGCTGGTGTAACTGAGTCAGGTTTGTAGGCCTCCTTGCTCGAAACACGCTTTTTCAGTTCTGCCCACACATTTTCTATAGGATTGAGGTCAGGGCTTTGTGATGGCATCTCCAATACCTTGACTTGTTGTCCTTAAGCCATTTTGCCCCAACTTTGGAAGTATGCATGGTGTCATTGTCCATTTGGAAGACCCATTTGCGACCAAGCTTTAACTTCCTGACTGATGTCTTGAGTTGTTGCTTCAATATATCCACATAATTTTCCTTCCTCATGATGCCATCTATTTTGTGAAGTGCACCAGTCCCTCCTGCAGCAAAGCACCCCCACAGCAGGATGCTGCCACCCCAGAGCTTCACGTTTGGTATGGTGTTATTCGGCTTGCAAGCAACCCCTTTTTCCTCCAAACACAATGATGGTCATTATGGCCAAACAGTTCTATTTTTGTTTCATCAGACCAGAGGACATTTCTCCAAAAAGTACAATCTTTGTCCCCATGTGCAGTTGCAAACCGAATTGCTGCAAAGAAACCACTACTAAAGGACACCAATAAGAAGAAGGTGTGGGTCAACGGATGATCTCCGCATGTGTATTTCCCACCGTAAAGCATGGAGGAGGAGGTGTTATGGTGTGGGGGTGCTTTGATGGTGACACTGTCAGTGGTTTATTTAGAATTCAAGGCACACTTAACCAGCATGGCTACCACAGCATTCTGCAGCGATATGCCATACCATCTGGTTTGGACTTAGTGGGACTATAATTTGTTTTTCAACAGGACAATGACCCAACACACCTCCAGGTTGTGTAAGGGCTATTTTACTAAGAAGGAGAGTGATGGAGTACTGCATCAGATGGCCTGGCCTCCACAATCCCCCGACCTCAACCAAATTGAGATGGTTTGGGATGAGTCGTACCGCATAGTGAAGGAAAAGCAGCCAACAAGTGCTCAGCATATGTGGGAACTCAAGACTGTTGAAAAAGCATTCCAGGTGAACCTGGTTGAGAGAATCCCAAGGGTGTGCAAAGCTGTCATCAAGGCAAAGGGTGGCTATTTGAAGAATCTCAAATATGACATTATATACTGTATATATATATATATATTTGTTTAACACTTTTTTTTGGTTACTACATGATTCCATATGTGTTATTTCAAAGTTTTGATGTCTTCACTATTATTCTACAATGTAGAAAATAGTAAAAATAAAGAAAAACCCTTGAATGAGTAGGTGTTCTAAAACGTTTGACCGGTAGTGTTTACTAAATAATATATATGTGTGAAATTAGTTTTGATTTAGGTTGGACCATTATCATGCACCTGTCTCGAAACAGGGGCAGCTGAAAAAAATAAACGTAATCTATGCACTTAAATAGCGAATAGAGGACGGTTTTCTCATGGTTCATTTTCATGCCAGCCAGGTAGGCTATACTCCTGTTGTAAAGAGTAGCAATGTGCTTATATTAGGAAAGTTGAGAAATAAATATAGTAGGCCTAGCCTATAGAAAGCTGATGGGATCCTCCTCTTTTTAAAAGAGGCATTCACTTTGTTTTCTCATGCAATTGCATAGCCTATAGAGTTGTTGCACAACATGAGCTCATAGGCTCTCATTAAGTGTTTGATGAGATTTTCAATTACATTTGCATTGATGTCAGAGTGATTAGAGGGACAATAGAGTGCTGAGTACCAGGCAGATAGCAAGTTTGGTAGGCTACTAATGACCATCAGCAGCATCAGAGCTTGGAGAAGCCTAATTACCGTGACTAAACCGTAACGTGGAATTTGACTGCCGTCATAACTGCTGGTGTGACAGTAATACCTCACCGTAACAGCCCTAGAATAATGCACCTAAAAGTTGGATGCGATCTGCCAACCAAATCCCAAAGAAGGAGAAGATGAGACAGGAGAGTTGATGCGAGTAGTATGCAATTGCGATCTTCCACCCCCCCCCCCCCCCCCCAAAAAAAGTAATAAAAGTAATTGATATCTTCCCATAGTCAATCACCCATGTAATGTGACACTTTTCTTTTCAGATATCACCCCAAAGAGAAGAGTATCCACTGAAAAGGGTGAGTTTATCCATTGACAACTGCTTAGTCTTCCAGTCAGATTTAGAATAACAAGTATCAAGACAAAGGCCCTCCTATTCGCATGGGTTTCACTGAACACTTAAAGTACCAAGAAAAGTCAAACTTTACCCAACTTGAAATATGCTTCAAACCGGCAGTTTGCATGCTTTGCAAAAAGAGTTGAGCTTAGTGATGTAATGTTAACTACTCGTTGTCTCTGCCTCTTCCAGGTCCCCTGCTGGAGTTTCTGGACCCCCAAGAGCAGTTGGATGTGCGGGTGGGAGGGCAGGCCAGACTCCACTGTGCCTTCAGGAGCTGTAGTTTTCCTGTGGCATCCTGCTGGATCTACAACAGAGAGCAGGTCTGTGTTGAATTGGCTTGGGGTCACACACACACACCCCATAGTTTTATCACAAGTGTTGTGTACCTGTATGTGTACTTTGACTGAATTTATTAGGTAACTTCAATCTTCTCCATCTATGCAGGTGGTTGTAGGCAGGCCGAGGACTCGTGTAGAGAGCAGTGACACTGACAGCTGTGTGGAGATATCTCAAGCTTGTCCAGATGATGCGGGTACATACACTATATTGGTGCAGAATCGCAGGGGCTCGGCTCAGCACACAGTCACCCTCAGTGTTATCGGTGAGTATCTGGGGCGTGTTCATGATAACTAAAGTTAAATTCAATAAACCAGGGTCGTATTCATTAAGCACCAAATGAAAGAAAATGTTCTGAAACAGAGAGGGACTAGCTGAACAATAAGAACTGTTTGTTTTAGTTTTTTGTTGCAAAATATTTCGCTACAGTGTACACTAATGAATACGACCCTGCCTTATTCCCAAATGACAATTAATGCTGATAGATTGCATTACCGCATCATAATACCAATGAGCCTCAATTCTGATCAGAACAAGACGAGATGGTTATTCACACGTAACAATTCCAAGAATAGTCCTGCTAGTAAACTCAATGTCAACGAACCCTACGGTTCGGGGAAGATGTCCTCATCTTGAATAATCTTGTTCAGGGTGAAGTAGGAAAAGCTCACAGCTGCTGACCTCGACTACGTCAAAAGAGGTTATGCATTTGATCTCTCGGAGCTCAATGCCTTCCATCTAAAGTTGACCATGGGCCCTGTTCCAATACTTTTAAATGGCTTCCTTTCTTCTTTCCTACATTGAGGTAACTTCACTGCTCTAACATGACTGAACTAATGAGTGAAGTAAAGTATTAGGAAACCACATCTGCCTTGGGCCCTGTTCCAATTCTATATCACATCTACCTTGGATCTTGTTCCAATGCTTTCAAATGGCATCCTTCCTTAGGAACCCAAATCCACCACACCAGTCATGTCAGATCAGTACTTACAAAAGGAAAGATAACATATTCTCACAGGCTCTGTGTTTGTCTCCCTGTCTTCTCAGACCGGCCACACCCTCCGGCATCTAGTCCTGTGGTCTCCCAGCTCTCCTCCCGCTCCCTGGTCCTGTCCTGGTCGGGGCCCAGCTACGACGGGGGCAGTGCCGTCACAGGCTACGTGGTGGAGGTGAGACGAGAAGGCCCAGAGAAGCCTGAGGACTGGAGTGAGGTGACGACCCGCTGCAAGAACACCTCGTACCGGGTCCGCTCGGTCGTGGAGCCCCTAGGGGAGTACCGCTTTCGTGTTCGGGCCTACAATTCAGCGGGTGTCAGTGAGCCGAGTGAGGAGTCGGACTGTGTCAAGATGGACACCAGAGGTTGGTGGATATTGATTTTCTCCAAACAGTGACTTTGGTGATTACTACCAGTTTTGATCTTAAAACAGTTGTTGATCTGACTCGTTGTCTCTGTCTATTGGTTTTTCCTTGAAATGTCTTATATCTACATTCTGTTGAATTCAACTACAAATATTCAGTAGTTCTTGTTGACTAATCATGATTCTGTGCTTTTGAAGTAGAGTCAAAAGAGGAATCCCAATCGTATGTGACTGTCACCATTGACACCACGCACAAAATCAAGGATCATTACAATGTGCATGAGAAGCTGGGAGTGTAAGCATTAGATGGTCACTCACTCACTATATTGACTGATTGCTGAACTGGGTCATGTTCAGTTGGCATGAAACGGAACAAAACTGTCAAACTGAAGTACTATCTGGGTTGTATTAATTTGTGATCATCATAGTAAACGAAAAGCGACAATGAGTGTTCTCATTGGACAAGTTCAGGTAGTCCCTCCCAGTTTTGTTCAGTTTTCTTCTCTTTGGTGTCTAGTGAATATGACCATGAACTTGTCTATTTTCATTTTCTGTGGCAACGCATTTTAAAACACTTAAACGTTTTGCTACTGTGTGTCCTAATGAACACAACCCTGCTAACTGCCTATTGGAACCTCAACAGGGGGAAGTTTGGCCACGTCTTCAGGCTGAGTCACAAGGAGACAGGTCAGGTGTGTGCAGGGAAGTTCTACCGGGCCCATGGCTCCAAGGCGAAGGCTGCGGCGCGCAGGGAGATCGAGCTGATGAACTGCCTCCACCACCCCAAGCTGGTGCAGTGCCTCGGGGCCTATGACACCCGCTCCGAAATCATCATGGTGATGGAGTAGTAAGCACAGCCAGGTCCAATCATTTAGATTAGTTATGTATTAATAATTTGAATGTTGTATTTGTATTGATGTCTTTACTGAGTTGCCATTACAATATAATGTGTGGTTCTCTCCTCTTCTGTACTTTCCTGGAGATAGGATTGAGGGCCACTGCTGGTAGTCTGGTAACTAGATCTCCTACGGTTGTTGTCATTGCCCAAGTTTGGACTTGGCAAAACCACACAAACAGATCTGGGACCAGGCTACACTGCTGTTGAGAGATTCACATTGTTTACATTGAATATGCAAGGGATCAGTCTGATAAAGGGCTTGTATCATTGAGGCCTATCCAATCCTCTAGGGCTATAGGTTCTGTGGATTGGTTTGACATGAGGACCTTGGTCTTCCTTACACCTTCTATATCTCTAGCATCGCCGGCGGGGAACTGTTTGCGCGTATCGTGGATGACAACTTTGAGCACACGGAGCCCACCAGCGCACGCTACATGCAACAGCTCCTGGAGGGCATGCGGTACGTCCACCGGCAGAACATTGTCCACTTGGACCTCAAGCCAGAAAACATTGTGTGTGTGGACACCACGGGCACGCGGATTAAGATCATCGACTTTGGCCTGGCAGCCAAACTAGGTGAGTGGGTTTGGGGTAGAGTCTAATAGTATTTTCAAACTGTCATGCTGACCCGAACGTTACTTTGCTACTTTCCTGGATCAGATATTTTGTTTGCACAGTACAGCTTGGCTCAGCTCAACTCAGTAGTGTGAAAAGGGTCTTCATAGTGTCCTGCAGATACTAGGGCCATGTGCAGTAGGGCACAACGTTGTGGAATGTTCAGAATCAGGTCAAAATAAGTATTGAGTAGAACAGACCTACAGTACCTTCAGAAAGTATTCACACCCCTTGACTTTTTCCACATTTTGTTGTCTTACAGTCTGAATTTAAAATGGATTACATAGAGATTTTTGGCCCTGGCCTACATACAATACCCCATAATGTCAAAGTGGAATTATGTTTTATTTTATTTTTTACAAATTACACTGAACAAAAATATAAACGCCACATGTAAAGTGTTGGTCCCATGTTTCATGAGCTGAAATAAAACATCCCAGAAATGTTCCATACTCACAAAAAGCGTATTTCTTATTTTGTGCACAAATTTGTTTACATCCATGTTAGTGAGCATTTCTCCTTTGCCAAGATAATCCATCCACCTGACAGGTGTGGCATATCAAGAAGCTGATTAAACAACATGATCATTACACAGGTGCACCTTGTGCTGGGGACAATAAAAGGCCACTCTAAAATGTGCAGTTTTGTCACACAACACAATGCCACAAATGTCTCAGGTTTTGAGGGAGCTGCAATTGGCATGCTGACTGCAGGAATGTCCACCAGAGCTGTTGCCAGATAATTGAATGTTCATTTCTCGATCATAAGCCGCTTCCAACGTTGTTTTAGAGAATTTGGCAGTATGTCCAACCGGCCACACAACCACAGACCACGTGTAACCACGCCAGCCCAGGACCTCGACATCCGGCTTCTTCACCAGCGGGATCGTCTGAGACCAGCCACCCGGACAGCTGATGAAACTGTGGGTTTGCACAAAACAAGAATTTCTGCACAAACTTTCAGAAACCGTCTCAGGGAAGCTCATCTGCGTGCTCGTCATCCTCACTAGGGTCTTGACCTGACTGCAGTTAGGCATCATAACCGACTTCAGTGGGCAAACGCTCACCTTCAATGGCCACTGGCACGCTGGAGAAGTGTACTCTTCACGGATGAATCCCGGTTTCAACTGTATCGGGCAGATGGCAGACGTGTGGGCGCTCGGTTTGCTGATGTCAACATTGTGAAAAGAGTGCCCCATGGTGGCGGTGGGGTTATGGTATGGGCAAGCTACGGACAATGAACACAATTGCATTTTATTGATGGCAATTTGAATGCACAGAGATACCGTGACGAGATCCTGAGGCCAATTGTTGTGCCATTTATCCACCGCCATCACCTCATGTTTCAGCATGATAATGCACAGCCCCATGTCGCAAGGATCTGTCGCAAGCTGAAAATGTCCCAGTTCTTCCATGGCCTGCATACTTACAAGACATGTCACCAATTGAGCATGTTTGGGATGCTCTGGATCAACATGTACGACAGCGCGTTCCAGTTCCTGTCCATATCCAGCAACTTCGCACAGCCATTGAAGAGGAGTGGGACAACATTCAACAGGCTACAGTCAACAGCCCGATTAACTCTATGCGATGTGTCGCACTGCATGAGACAAATGGTGGTCACACCAGATACTGACTGGTTTTCTGATCCACACCCCTTCATTTTTAAGGTATCTGTGACCATCAGATGCGTATCTATATTCCCAGTCATTTGAAATCCATAGATTAGGGCCTAAAAAATGTATTTCAATTGACTGATTTCCTTATATGAACTGTAACTCAGTAACATCTTTGAAATTGTTGCATGTTGATTTGTTCAGTATAATAAAAAATGAAAAGTCAAGTCTTCAACCCCTTTGTTATGGCAAGCCTAAGTAAGTTCAGGAGTAAAAATGTGCTTAACTAGTCACATAATACGTTGCATGGACTCACTCTGTGTGCAATAATAGTGTTCAACTGGACTTTTTTAAAGACTACCTCATCTCTGTATACTACACATTCAATTATCTGTAAGGTCCCTCAGTCGAGGAGTGAATTTCAAACAAAGATTAAACTACAAAGACCAGGGAGGTTTTCCAATGCCTCGCAAAGAAGGGCACTTATTGGTAGATGGGTAAAAAGAAGCAGACATTGAATATCCCTTTGAGCATGGTGAAGTTATTAATTACACTTTGGATGGTGTATCAATACACCCAGTCACTACAAAGATACAGGTGTCCTTCCTAACTCTGTTGCCAGAGAGGAAGGAAACTGCTCAGGGATTTCACCATGCGGCCAATGGTGACTTTAAAACATTTACAGAGTTTAATGGCTATGATAAGAGAGAACTGAGGATGGATCAACCACATTGTAGTTACTCCACAATACTAACCTAATTGACAGAGTGAAAACAAGGAAGCCTGTACCGAATAATTTTTTTCTCCAAAACATGCATCCTGTTTGCAACAAGGCACTGAAGTAATACTGCAAGAAATGTGGCAAGCAATTAACACTTTTGTATTCAGGACAAAAAGTTATGTTTGGGGCAAATCCAATACAACACATTACTGAGTACCACTCTCCATATTTTCAAGCATAGTGGTGGCTGCATCATGTTATGGGTATGTTTGTAATCGTTAAGGACTGGGGTGTTTTCAGGATAAAAAATAAACAGAATGCAGCTAAGCACAGGTAAAATCCTAGAGGAAAACCTGGTTCAGTCTGCTTTCCACCATACACTGGGAGATGAATTCACCTTTCAGCAGGACAATAACCTAAAACATAAGGCCAAATATATGCTGGAGTTGCTTACCAAGAAGACCGTGAATGTTCCTGAGTGGCCGAGTTACAGTTTTGACATAAATCTACTTAAATCTATGGCAAGATCTGAAAATGGTTGTCCAGCAATGATCAACAACCAATTCGACAGAGCGTGAAGAATTTTGAAAAGAATAATGGGCAAATGTTGCACAATCCAGGTGTGGAAAGCTCTTCGAGACTTACCCAGAGAGACTCACAGCTGTAATCACTACAAAAGGTTATTCTACACAGTATTGACTCATACTTTTGTAAATTAGATATAAAAAACATGTTTTCACTTTGTCATTATGGGGTATTTTGTGTAGATAGGTGAGAATGTTTTTTTTAATCAATTTTGAATTCCGACTGTAACACAACAAAATGTGGAATAAGTCAAGGGGTTATGAATACTTTCTGCGCACTGTACCTCTGATAAGTAGAATGATGAGTCATGTCAGCTCTTTAGAATTGTATAACTTTAGCTATCTACAGTAGTTGAATGAGCCTGTACACACTCAAATTAGACGACACCTTTTAGCATGAGAAGACATGAGCAACAATTACATTTAGGTGTATTTTATCTCAAATGTTTATGTGGGAGCACATTACATTCAAGGTTTATATTTGTTTCTTTACTTTAAAAGCAGTCTATGGACTGCAAATATCTCAATATGAAACATACAGTGCATTCGGAAAGTATTCAGACCCTTTGACTTTTTCTCCACATTTTGTTAAGTTACAGCCTTTTTCTAAAATTGATTAAATTGTTTGTTTCCCTCATCAATCTACACACAATACCCCATAATGACAAAGCAAAAACAGGTTTTTAGAAACATTTGCAAATGTATTAAAAATTAAAAACTGAAATTTTACATAAGTATTCAGACCCTTTACTCAGTACTTTGTTGAAACACCTTTGACAGCAATTACAGCCTCTTCTTGGGTATGACTCTACAAGCTTGGCACACCTGTATTTGGGGAGTTTCTCCCATTCTTCTCTGCAGATCCTCTCAAGCTCTGTCAGGTTGGATGGGGAGCGTTGCTGTACAGCTATTTTCAGGTCCCTCCAGAGATGCTCGATCGGGTTCAACTCCTGCGTTGTCTTGGCTGTGTGCTTAGGGTCGTTGTCCTGTTGGAAGGTGAACCTTCGCCCCAGTCTGAGGTCCTAAACGCTCTGGAGCAGGTTTTCATCAAGGATCTCTCTGTACTTTGCTCCGTTCATCTTTGCCTCGATCCTGACTAGTCTCCCAGTCCCTGCTGCTGAAAAACATCCCCACAGCATAATGCTGCCACCACCATGCTTCACCGTAGGGATGGTATTGGCCAGGTGATGAGCGGTGTCTGGTTTCCTCCAGATGTGACGCTTGGCATTCAGGGCAAATAATTAAATCTTGGTTTCATCAGACCAGAGAATCTTGTTTCTCATGGTCAGAGTCCTTTAGGTGCCTTTTGGCAAACTCAGAGTGGGCTGTCATGTGCCTTTTTACTTAGGAGTGGCTTCCGTCTGGCCACTCTACCATAAAGGCTTGATTGGTGGAGTGCTGCAGAGATGGTTGTCCTTCAGGAAGGTTCTCCCATCTCCACAGAGGAACTCTGGAGCTCTGTCAAAGTGACCATCGGGTTCTTGGTCACCTTCCTGACCAAGGCCCTTCTCCCCTGATTGCTCAGTTTGGCCGGGCGGCCAGTCTTGGTGGTTCTAAACTTCTTCCATTTAAGAATGATGAAGGCCACTGTGTTCTTGGACACCTTCAATGTTGCAGAAATGTTTTGGTACCCTTCCCCAGATCTGTGCATCGACACAATCCTGTCTCGGAGCTCTACAGTCAATTCCGTCAACCTTGTGGCTTAGTTTTTGCTCTGACATGCACTGTCAACTGTGGAACCTTATATAGACAGGTGTGTGCCTCTCCAAATCATGTCCATTCAATTGCATTTACCACAGGTGGACTCCAATCAAGTTGTAGAAACATTTCAAGGATGATCAATGGAAGCAGGATGCACCTGAGCACAATTTCGAGTATCCTAGCAAAGAGTCTGAATACTTATGTAAAAAATGTATTTCTGTTTTTTATTTGTAATAAATGTGCAAACATTTCTGTTTCTATTTTCACTTTGTCAGTATGGGGTATTGTGTGTAGATTGAGGAATTTTTATTTATTTAATCAATTTTAGAATAAGGCTGTAAAATGTGGAAAAAGTGAAGGGGTCTGAATACTTTCCGAATGCACTGTATCTAGATATGTAACATCGCTGGACTATCCCTTCAAGTCAACAGCTACCTTTTGATAACAGCTTGCCCATGAAATGGACACACGCAGAGGAGGCTGGTGGGAGGAGCTATAGGAGGACAGACTCATTGTAATGGCTGGAATGGAATAAATGGAAAGGCATCAAACGTGGTTTTTACATATGTTGATAAGTTCCATTTATTCCATTCCAGCCATTACAATGAGCCCATCCTCCTATAGATCCTCCCATCAGCCTCCATTGGGCACTCAAGCATGTGAGCAGAGTTCAGCAGTTGGAAATCCTGCTCATCGCTCATGGAGCAGTGCTTGCACACCACTTAGGCGCTCCATGTCCTTTCCTACAGCTCAGCTAAAAACCGCTCCATGCTCACAGGAACGAACTCCCGCTCTAAATTCACTCATTAATTAAAATCACAATATAACCAACACCCATCTGTTTTTGTGACTTCCTGGACCAACCAATTTGTTAAGTATTGAAACCAAACCATATGGATTTGAATGAAAAGTATTTGAAAAAACATGAAAAGTTGAATGTAAGAAGCTAACATCATTTCAAATAGGCTACATGTACAGTGAAGGAAAAAAGTATTTGATCCCCTGCTGATTTTGTATGTTTGCCCACTGACAAAGAAATGATCAGTCTATAATTTTAATGGTAGGTTTATTTGAACAGTGCGAGACAGAATAACAACAAAAAAATCCAGAAAAAAGCATGGCAAAAATGTTATAAATTGATTTGCATTCTAACGGTAGCTAAAGCAAGGGGATATTTGCAGCACACCAGTAGACTACATGCTGGGGCGGGCATGCCCTGAGCTCACTTGTGAAGTGAGCGCTACTGGATTACCTTTGGTAATCTCGCTCCATGCTCCAGTCAAATTGGGCACGCTCTGCTCACATACTCTGCTGGGCACACACTATCGCAGGGGGGCAGAGGTCAGTAAACGGGAAAGGGTAGTCCACATATCCTGCAGCTACACTGGCTAGCATCGCTAAGAACAATGTCTAATTGCTGACACAAAAAAGCAACGTTTGGAAAAAAATTGGTATGTGGATGAAAGTCATGCTTAGGCGAATAAACTATAAAGGGAAATAAATGGCTACAGTTTATAGTTTTAGTTATTTCATGAAATGTTGTTTTTAGAAAAGGGGTGTTTTTTTACCTACTTGTATATTTAAAAAACTTCATTGGAACATATCTACAACTTTTTTTTTAATGTCAAATAATTAGATCAACTTACCACAAAATAATTTTGTTGCAATATCTCCAAAAATTGTGATGATACAGAGGAAATGTTTTGTTCAGTAAGAACAGTGACAGCCAGGGGGCTAGTTACCCCCCTACTACCGTACTGTATTTAGATGTGAAATTCACTTTGAGTTTATTCAATTTTGATTTGATCCGCTCTGTACAGAGATGGATGAAAAATCTTAAACGCAATGGGCACGTTACAGGTCGTCTTTATTACAGGCGCGTTGCACAATTAACCAGATCTCACAACACCTGGAGAAGTGTTTAACATCTCAGAAAACACATTAACATGACACCACAGTCTCCTGAGACTGCAATAAAGAGAACCTGGAACGTGCCCAGTATCAATGTAATAACCTTGACCAACATGTTTCTCATTTGTTTTCCTCTCCGATACAGAGCCTGGTACTCCACTGATGGTGATGCATGGGACGCCAGAGTTTGTGGCCCCGGAGGTGATCAGCTACGAGCCGGTAGGGCTGGCCACGGACATGTGGAGCATCGGAGTCATCTGTTTCATCTTGTGAGTTATGAACAGGCCTACCAACTTGCTTCTATTCAAGCACACCATGGTCCGGTGTTCAGTAGTGCACACTGTAGAAAAAAATGGGCAATGGATGCAGGCTGACTTATACATGTATGACCCTGCTTCTCTGCTGCCTACCAGGCTAAGCGGTGAATTGCCCTTCCAAGGTAACAGTGACGCAGAAACCCTGGGCCTGGTGACGGCCGCCTGCTATGAGTTTGACCAGGAAAGCTTCGAGGACATCTCGGACCAGGCTAAAGACTTCATCACCTCCCTGCTCAAGAAGGACACAAGGTTTGTCTCCTACTGTCAGGATGTTGGCTGCCTGGATGACTGCTGGCTGGTATCCATATTGTCTTATGCACTGGGGACATGTGTACGTGCGTGCCTGCACGTTTAGTCTGTCAGGCTAGATTTATACTCCACCAAAATGTTCTCCTTAGCAATACATTACTGACACTTGCTTAGTTACATACTCTGGCATGCACCCAAATTATCAGTGTGGAGACCTCTGTGCGGTGTGTGGTGAAGTCACAGAGCCTCTATGGAGTAAATCTAGTGGAGTATAAATCCAAAGAAATGGTTAACAAAATGCTCCAGGAGTTGGAGCAGGTTATCTGTGTTGTGCTTGCACTTGAGTGTGAAACAAAGAGAGAAATTGTATAATGGTGTGCTCTTGCCCCTCCCCAAACCCTGACCCCGTCTTCAGGGGTAGGCTGTTGTGTGATGAGGCCCTTGCCCACCCCTGGATGGCCTCTTTTACGCAACTGGTCCGCCGGCCCACCAAGTCCCTCAAGAAGGACAAGATTAGACGTTTCTTGGCCAAGCGCAGATGGAAGGTATATCCATATTACCTTACACAAATCTATTCTACATGTCACATTCTATTTCAAATGTTTTCTGCCCTAATGAACACGTCCCTGGCCCCATACTGTATGTGCTGAAGCCAGCTCTTCAATCGTTATCATGTCTAGCCATACAAACATCTTTGGCATGACTATGAACAAACAGAGAGATGAGTGGGCTAAAGCACAAACAGACTGGGCCAGCAGGCTAACTCAGCAGTGACTGAACCAACAAGGGATCTGTTAATGGCGTCGCATTGATTCAAATGGCAGATGCTTGGTTCTCAGTGATGTTTTATCCCTCTCCATAACTAAAGAAAACGGGCAAGGCTGTAATAGCACTGCAGAGGATGGCCAACCTCACCAACAGTCCTGACTCTCCTGGAAGCTCTGGGGAGGGTAAGAGAGACACGTCCATTGACCATCCAGGGCTCAATGTCAGTGTTTTTCCTTTTTAATGTTAAATCAACATCTGAAAAGTGGTACGCTCAATGGTAGTTGCTCCTGTTTATTAACCTTTGTTGGAAGGTGACAGTATTCTTTTCCCTCTCTCCTCCCACCACCCAGAGGCTAGCTGGAGCCCGGAAGCAGAGCGGGCCATCCAGTCCCTGGATCAGGAGCTGCAGAGTGAACCCCGCTTCCAGCAGGCCCTAAGGGACACCAGCCAGCCCCGGGGATCTACTGCCCGCCTGGCATGCCGCATCCAGGGTATGATTGGTTGGAAGCTCAATCAAGAGCAGTGGTTGGGGCCAATTTGAATTTGAAAGTCAATTCAGGAAATAAACTGAAATTCAATCATTTAAAAAATGTCATCTATTTCCAATGACTTCTCAATAAATGGAAAAGGAGAAGCTATTTTTCAAAAGTGTTTCCATTTTGGCATTTTCAAATCAAATCATTCCGATTTGAGCGACTTCAGTTAGATTTGACCTCAACCCTGCTCGAAACCCATTTGCTACACACACGATCAATGACAGCACTCTGTCGCTAGCTAAGCATTCTTCCCATCGGCTTGCTCAGGATAACCCTTGTGAACTACAACGGTTTAATTTGAACCCTTGTATCATGCTCTTGTTATTGTAACCTTAGTTTTCCATCGCTCGTCATTTGAACCCTTGTCTCCCTGTCACTCACCATTTTAACTCTATCCCCGTCACTCGCCCTTTGAACCATTGTCTCGCCCTGTGGCTCGTCATTTTAACCCTGGTCTCTCACCGTCACAGGCTACCCCGAGCCAGAGGTGATGTGGCTTAAGGACGAGAGGCCCGTAGAGTCGTCGTCGAGGGTTACCGTGGAGTACGATGGCATGTGTGAGCTGGTCCTGACTGACCTGGGACCTGCCGACTCTGGGATTTACAAGTGCAGAGCCACCAACGACCTGGGGGAGGCACTGTGCTCAGCCAAACTTACAGTGGAAATGTAGAATGAGAACACAAAACAACTACGACTGGATCCCAATTCTACACCGTTTTCCCCAAAGATTTAACAATGGTGGAAACTCCCTAGTAGCCGATGATAACACCAATCCAATGTTTTGAATCCATAATGGGAAGTGTGGAAGTGTACACTTTAGGAGAAGGGTGGGGAATCGGGATGCAGCCTACAATCAATGTTGGAGAAGCTACTCTGAAAATATAGTTTACCAAGCTACCAATTACTTCACACTGGAAGAAGTTAAGCTAGGTTACTTAACTAAAGTTACTTTGAAAAAGTAGTTCACTACATCCAAACTACTTCATGAAAAATTATCATATCAGAAATGTCATAGAATACAAATTGCAAGAACTGATCACTCTTGTTAACAGAATGTGTAATTTATCCTATTAAGCACAAAAACGTTTCAAGTGAGAATTCGTTAGGTCTGATGCCCGAAAAAGAAAGGAAATTGCCTACTTCACCCATATTTTAGCAAAATAAATAGTGTGTAGTTCCAGTAGTTAGCTACATGGCAAAAAAGTAATTAACTGCTGAAAACACTACCAAGATTTTAATTTAAATACCACCAAGCTATTGCAAAATATAGTTTAATTAGTAATTGAACTACATGTAGTTCACTACTCCCCAACACTGCCTACAATGCAATCTAGAAGGTGACCACCATGGTCTAAAATGTATAATTGTTGTGAACTGCTCTGAGATGGAAGAACTGGACCAGCGAAAGCAATTGTTGTATCCATTTTGTGTTCAGTAGGACATTGTAGAGAAACCCTTTGCAAAGGAAAATGAAAGTGAACGTTTATTGGGCAAGTACCTTCTCCTTTCATGACATTTTTTTTATTGCTTTTTCTGTTTTTGACCCCGATATAGATTGACCACTGTCGGTCATGTTGCTTGCACATCTCCAATGATTTCAGATCATTGCAAGATGTAGGAGAGATGAGAAAGCCACTTTAGACTTGAGATACATTAAACTGTCCATGGATGTCAAGGGTGGCTCAAAAAAAGACTCACAGATGTAATCTCTGCCAAAGGTGATTCTAACATGTATTGACTCAGGGGTGTGAATACTTATGTAAAATTTATTTTCTGTATTTCATTTTCAATAAATGTGCAACAATTTCTAAAAATACGTTTTCACTTTGTCATTATGGGGTATTGTGTGTAGATGGGTGAGAAAAATATTTTATCAATTTTGAATTCAGGCTGTAACACAAGATGTGGAATAAGTCGAGGGGTTCGAATACTTTCTGAAGGCACTGTATCTACACACTCCTAAACTGGTCCCAGATCTGTTTGTGCTGTATAGCCAACTAGCCGGTGGCCCCGCACATTGACTCTGTACTGGTACCCCGCTGTATATAGGCTCCCTACTGTTATTTTATTTTACTGCTGCTCTTTAGTTATTTGCTTCTATTTTTCAATTTTTTACTTAACACTTTTTTTATTCTTAAAAAAAACTGCATTGTTGGTTAAGGGCTTGTAAGTAAGCATTTCACTGTAATATCTACTACTACACCTGTTGTATTCGGCGCATGTGGCAAATAACATTTGATTTGATTTGAGTGTCACTATCTGTTGATAGTATCATGTTTAATTTAGCTTTTCTCAATCTAGAAACAGCACAAAATTACTCCTACATTTTTATTCCACAATTCCTTATAAACATCCCAAACAATTTTTCACTATACTCTTCCCCCAACACTTTTTTTTGACTTAAAGCTATACTTAAAATACTTGATTGACCCTAAGCCGTACAAAAGAAAACAGTCAAAATGCCCACCACTATTTAACTCGATTTATGCATTCTTGTGTCTGAAATATAAGTATTTACAGTACAGTTTAGTCTTTAGAGTATATTATACCAAGGATTGTCTGATGTCCGCTTGATCCGTTTAAACATGTTGACATTCATATAAAACCAAGTCGTGAGGGACCATTTTTGTTTGTTAAAATATAAACAGCAAATCTTTACCTGACAAAGCACAAACTCATTCACTAAGTAGTAACATTAAGAACTCGATTCAATCCGTATCACGGAAGATCTGCGGTATAGCGCTATTTAAATTTAAAGGCAATGTTTTTTCCCGCGTTCGCAGAGACTGCATTCACGGTAAATGCTACATATGTCGGCGCAATCGGAAATTACCTTTAAATCTAAATTGCGTTATACCGCAGATCTTCTGTGATACGGATTGAAATCGAGCCCTAATTCTCTGGCCATGTTTCGTCTCCCACTATATCCACCCACAGCGAAAGCATTGTAAATTGACAAAGAAACAACCATTTTTAAACGAGTGTGTGAAAAGTCGATCAGACAGACACACTGGGGCCATACTTGTGAACATTAGAAACAGTTTAAATGTAAACAGTTCCTCCGTCTCACAATGCACATCATCCAATTAAAATCGTAGATTTACTTGCACGTGATCGAACATTACATTGCAGCTGGTCGCATCAGATAACCTGGCACACCAGATGACAGTATTTATTTCCTGGAAGAAATTCTGCATCAGCCAATTGCAAATGTTGACCTAGATGGACATGAACAAACCCTTTTCCATAAGAGTGTCCTTAACAAAGTCAAGCACTCTCGTTATCATCCTACAGATGGCAGTATTGCGGTAACGTTATTTGAAGTTTATCGCGAGTCCGGACTCGAACCCACGTTAGTGAGCGTCCACACTAGAGGAAAGTTTATCGTTCTACAGTACACCTGTCAATCATCTGATCAACGCATCCTACTGCACGCTGTAGGCTTATTGATAAGGTCATAACACAGACCATTCAGTGCTTTCAGAGTGTGTTCATTGTCATAGTGCCAACTGCAAATAATACTCCATTGTACATATAATGAAAAATATAAAAACGTGTATTTACATGTAGCAATTCAACAGCAAACACCGTTTAGCCTGCACATCTTTTACAGCCTGTCATTGCTTGCCTAGTTGCTCAAAGCTCCCCTATTGATTAGGCCTACATTTAAGAAAATTATTCTACCTAAGCTACAACACAAAGCAATGAGGACTGCATTATTGTTATCAAGTGAGTAAACAATTGTGGTCTATAGGCACATTTTTATAACCACTCAAATGTCCTGTTTTGTTTAATGCCGAAATAACTGCATACAGCCTAGGCCTGATTACGCAACCATTTGGCTCAGTTATGGGTCTATTCTAGACAGTATAGAAGGTCCAGAAAGGTATATTAGCAAGCCACTCATAAGTTGTATTTTGTCAGGATGTATCGGTGCTAAGATACCATTGGAAAATATGGACTTCTTCTGACATAGATGTCTCTCTCATCTTTCCAACTCCCCGGCAGTTCTTAAAGCTGTAGCCTATTTTACATTTACATTTTAGTCTTTTAGCAGAGGCTCTTATCCAGAGCGACTTAAAAGTAGTGAGTGCATACATTTGTATATTGCCGTAGTTTTTTTTACATTCAGCAAGCAAGAGCAAGCGTGCATCTCTCCTACGATAGGCTATTATTCATCAATATAAGTCGAAATAAGTGTCCAACAAGCAATTGTAATTTGGCTTTTACTGGGAATCTACAAGATTGAAGACGAATAGCCGAGGCAGCGAAGATGCCAGGTGCGTAATTGCGCATTAAAACAATGACCACAGACAGGCTCGAAATGTGTAGCCTAAGTTAGAAGTGTATGCATATTAGGCCATAATTCATTAGCTCAATGTTAGGCTTAATACTGCAGTGAATATATCCAGTGAATATACACAGTGAAAGAAAGGGGCTGCGCTTCCAGGCCTCGAGCACGCAGTTTGAAAAGCTACCCTATTGATTATATTTTATATGCATTTTTATAATAATCTACTTTGTCACATATGCTTTATTTGACTCGAGGACCAACATTGGAGCGTTTTCTCCTTAAATAAAAACCTTGCCCTGAGGGAGATTCGAACTCACGGCTGTCAAACCTTGCAGTCTCTGGGCTTACATCCTTAGTGGATCACACCACCAATTAGTCATAGCTGTAAGGGTAAATTACTGCATTTTAAAGAGGTATGAATATAAACGTACATGTTGTATAATCCTTCTACATCTTTACTGCTGTGAAAGCACATGAATGTGTGTGAAATGGATAGGCAAAAATGTTGGATTTTGTCATATGTGAAAATGTGAACATTTTGTTTAACGTTAGTACTAGTAGCCTAGTCAAGGATGTATCACTGCAATATTGGCACACAACATTTTGTTACAGACCAACGGAACAAAAGTAAACCTTGAATTTGTAGGTTTAAAATATCCCTTTGGTGACCGGGGTATTTTAAGAAATGCCATAGACGGGTTAGCTTACAACATCACAAAAACAATGCGTACACTTCAATGGGGCAGAAGTCTATGTTGTTGTGATTCTGGATGGCCAGATAGCTAGCAACAATAACAAGAAGCTGCCATGTTGTTTGCTCATTTCAGCTAGTTTTATCTTGTTCTTGATACCATGTCTTGTTTTGAGGTGTTTTGACTGATGTCACGTCTATGCTAATATGGCTGAAATTTGATGTAACAATGTATTTGAGAGGCAACAAGTGCTCATTGTGCAATATATTAATGTTTCCAATAAAAATTGAAGACAAAATGTAGTTTACATGTTGTCAACAATCTAAGCCAACCCTGTCTGTTTTGCCCCATAATTGCGCATATCGGTTTTGTTGCTAAACAACCAACATGTCTATTGGTTGTTGGATATAAAGTCTAAGATATTTGATAGGCTGATGAGGAATTTTGTTCCAGAAAATAATCACTCATCTGGTGAGGTTAACATAGGGCTAACGTGTGCCAGGTTATCTGATGGGACCAGCTACAATGTAGCGTTCTATTAATGATTTTAATTGGCTGATGTGCATTAAGACGGAGAAACTGTTTACATTTTTCTAATGTTCGCAAGTATGGCTCCAGCGTCTTTTGCAGGTGTAAGATCCTCCGTGGGGGGTTTGTGGTTGCGATGGCACACCAAAGCAACCGTTGTGGCGCTCCTTTTAAGGCAGACGTCCCTAACATGATTGCACCCTGGCCGTTTTGGAGCCACCCTCATCCCTTGCAGGGCTTTACAGTCGGTGTGTGTGCAGTTCACTGTTGAGGTGGTGTATGTGTATGGAGGTCTGGCTCAGGACGGTGGCTTCGCTCCTTCCCATCTCTGTTGGATCCGCTTCTGAAGGAGATCCCATGCCTTCCGTACCTGGGATTGAAATGCAAAAGAAGACGTGAGAAATGGTTTGTTTATACAATGCATTGACTGGTATCTATATCCTCCCTGAAAGCCATATAATGAAAATACTTGGTTGTGAAACGTTAATGTGTAAGCTGTGTCCCGATTCTTCACTCTTTTCCCAAAGTGTGCACTTCCATCCCGTCATGGATTTAACAATGGTGGAAACCAGGGGTGTGCCGATCTGGCCATACTCGTATTTGTATCCGTAAATTCACAGTGATGATCCTAGTAATTGGAAAAACAGAGTTTTAAAATGCCTAAGTAGAGGTTGGCAATACCTAATCGTCTCCCTGCACTTTCATATAAACCAAGGAAGCTGCAGATCAGGAGAAGCGGACTTGTGTGTGTTCTCAAAACTTGCAGCGGGTAGATGAGTTTGCTGTCACTCAGTCAGAACGCAGGGGTTAAAGCAACAACAAAAAAATCCCATGACGGAAACTTAAGTCGATCTCAGATCGATAGTCTGCAGGGCCAAGTTAACCTCCCCTTCCATGTAAAAATGACATGACCTTCTTGCTTTTAAGGAAAGAGGATAATTTTGTACATGTATTAAACTGCACGTTTGACCAAGTCCAATCCTTTTCAATAAAAATGTAAAATACAAAATCCATGACAGAAATCTGTCGCAGTAACGTGGGGACTTTAACCCTTGAGAATGTGCATCAGCCTTTCATATTTTTTTCCTACCCTTCCTCCGCTTGTTAGATATTATCCACATTGATAGCTTGCTGATTTATCATAGCAGCAGCAGGCAGTAGCAATCTAAGTGATCGGAGCATAACATGGAAGAGTGACCAGTAAAATATCAAGCGATGAAGAGTAAGTGAATGGAGATAAAGCTTTGGTCTATCCAATCGTAGCAGCAGGATCAACCTACGACAGCCAATTTCTTTACAGACAGCAGAACTAGACAGTTATTTAGAGCACACAGTCCTTCGCACTATTTGGGTGAAATGAGAGAGATGCGTGCTGGCTGCAACAAAAAAAATCCAGATCATGGATAATTACTAAAAATACTCCACATCCGTTACAATACTCGTTTTGTCCGAGTACTCACCCCCTAAAGGCGTCCGCATACTAGGTTCGGTTTGCTCCTAGCAGAACTCGGCTACGCAAAGTGAACGTCAGTGCCTCGTATAATGCCTTAAAAAGACATTTGCTTGAAAAACAAGAAAAACATTTTTTTAGTTTTTCCCCTCTTGAGACGCCGTAGCAACAACATACAGTAACACGTCCTCAAAATAGTCCGAATCAATCTAAAGATAAATCAAGAACTCCGTCATTAATTTTTACAGAGGTCTTAATCGCGCAACTTCATATCTAACTAAGTGCAGTATTTCTAAAGTGAAAAAATATGCATGAAAACTAGTAATCTGTTGTTGAATGACAACAAACACTTCAATGAAGAATCCCTAATGTCGAGCAATCACTGACGAAGGGACGTAGACTTCGGCTACCGAACTCCGGCTTGCCTCAAGAAATACATTTGTGTGCCCGAAGAGCTGAAAAAACCCCGGCCGAACACCAAAACGTCACAACATTTTGTCATAATACAGTGCCTTGCAAAAGTATTCATCCCCCTTGGCATTTTTCCTATTTTGTTGCATTGCAACCTGTAATTTAAATTGATTTTTATTTGGATTTCATGTAATGGACATACACAAAATAGTCCAAATTGGTGACGTGAAATGAAAATAATTATTTGTTTCAAAAAAGTATAAAAAAATAAATAACGGAAAAGTGGTCTGTGCATATGTATTCACCCCCTTTGCTATGAAGCCCCTAAATAAGATCTGGTAAAACAAATTACCTTCAGAAGTCACATAATTAGTTAAATAAAGTCCACCTGTGTGCAATCTAAGTGTCACATGATCTGTCACATGATCTCAGTATATATACACCTGTTCTGAAAGACCCCAGAATCTGCAACACCACTAAGCAAGGGGCACCACCAAGCAAGCGGCACCATGAAGACCAAGGAGCTCTCCAAACAGGTCAGGGACAAAGTTGTGGAGAAGTACAGATCAGGGTTGGGTTATAAAACTTTGAACATCCCACGGAGCACCATTAAATCCATTATTAAAAAATTGAAAGAATATGGCACCACAACAAACCTGCCAAGAGAGGGCCGCCCACCAAAACTCACGGACCAGGCAAGGAGGGCATTAATCAGAGAGGCAACAAAGAGACCAAAGATAACCCTGAAGGAGCTGCAAAGCTCCACAGTGGAGATTGGAGTATCTGTCCATAGGACCACTTTAAGCTGTACACTCCACAGAGCTGGGCTTTACAGAAGAGTGGCCAGAAAAAAGCCATTGCTTAAAGAAAAAAATAAGCAAACACGTTTGGTGTTCGCCAAAAGGCATGTGGGAGACTCCCCAAACATATGGAAGAAGGTACTCTGATCAGATGAGACTAAAATTGAGCTTTTTGGCCATCAAGGAAAACGCTATGTCTGGCGCAAACACAACACCTCTCATCACCCCGAGAACACCATCCCCACAGTGAGGCATGTTGGTGGCAGCATCATGCAGTGGGGATGTTTTTCATCGGCAGGGAATGGGAAACTGGTCAGAATTGAAGCAATGATGGATGGCACTAAATACAGGGAAATTCTTGTGGAAAACCTGTTTCAGTCTTCCAGAGATTTGAGACTGGGACGGAGGTTCACCTTCCAGCAGGACAATGACCCTAAGCATACTGCTAAAGCAACACTCGAGTGGTTTAAGGGGAAACATTTAAATGTCTTGGAATGGCCTAGTCAAAGCCCAGACCTCAATCCAATTGAGAATCTGTGGTATGACTTAAAGATTGCTGTACACCAGCGGAACCCATCCAACTTAAAGGAGCTGAAGCAGTTTTGCCTTGAAGAATGGGAAAAAATCCCAGTGGCCAGATGTGCCAAGCTTATAGAGACATACCCCAAGAGACTTGTAGCTGTAATTGCTGTAAAAGGTGGCTCTATCGACTTTGGGGGGGTGAATAGTTATGCACGCTCAAGTTCTGTTTTTTTGTCTTATTTCTTGTTTCACAATAAAAAATATTTTGCATCTTCAAAGTGGTAGGCGTGTTGTGTAAATCAAATGATAAAACCCCCCAAAAAAACAATTTTAATTCCAGGTTGTAAGGCAACAAAATAGGAAGAATGCCAAGGGTGGTGAATATTTTCACAAGCCACTGTTTATTCAAACTGTTTCGACTTGGAAGCATACGGTAAGCTTTAGTGGAAACTCCCTCCAACCAATGTTTACACCAATCCAATACTTTTTAATCCCTGATTGGAAGTGTGCAAGTAGCGTGCCCACTTTAGAAGAAGGGTGGAGAATCTGGACGCAGCCTAAGATACATAAATAAAAAACGATCGTTCCTATGAAAAATAAATAAATTCAAGAAGCCTTTATGCGTGGATGGTAAACATTTCAGAACGTTTTGAAAAAATTTATGCACTCACTAACTGTAAGTCGCTCTGGATAAGAGCGTCTGCTAAATGACTAAAAATGTTTTGAAGGTGCTTTATCAAGCCATTTTCCCCGTCAGTGTGTCTGGCTTTGCCCTTGGTCATGTTCATTAGGGCATACAGTAACAAAATGTTTTGCGATGTAAAATGGACCAGTCCCTCCTTGTTTTCTTCCTTTTGGTTCCTAATGAACAAGACCCTGGTCTCTCGCTCCCCTCCTTACCTGTCTCTGGGTGATCTCGGGCTCCCACAGAGTGCAGAGCACCACGTTGGCCTGCGCCACCTGCCGCGCGTTGGGCCACTGGCTCTGCAGCCGCCGCACAGCGTCCTCTTGGCTGACACCGTCCCTTGCAGTGATCCGAGACACTGCCTGGAGGGTAGGAGGGTTGGGGTGGATAAAAAATTAAAGTGTCTGTATCAGTGTTTTGTCTTTTAGCATTAGATGTTATGCAAGGGTCTACTTGCGGTGACTGTGATAAGAGCATCTGCTAAATTACTCAAATGTAAAATGTTAATGTAATTGAACTAGCACCGCTTAATTTTTATTTTATTTTTTATTTAACCTTTATTTAACTAGGCAAGTCAGTTAAGAACAAATTCTTATTTACAATGACGGCCTACACCCGCCAAACCCGGACGACGCTGGGCCAATTGTGCACCGCCCTATGGGACTCCCAATCACGGCCGGTTGTGATACAGCCTGGAATCGAACCAGGGGGTCTGTAGTGACGCCTCAAGCACTGAGATGCAGTGCCTTAGACCGTTGCACCATTTCGTTCACTATTTTCAATTAAAAATGTTCTGGTTTGTTTTCACATTGAGGACAAGGTTGTGTAGAGGAGTTATGAAAAACCCTGTGCCTAAATCCCAGGTTGTGTAAGGCAACACAATGAAAAATGTGCAAAGGGCACTGTATCGATTAGGTTATTTCTCAGATGTTCACAGTACAGATGTGGGTTACCTCTTCCTCAGGAATGATGGCGACCCAGACCTCGTGCACGATGTCCGTCCAGCCGGCCTCCAGCAGCACAGCTGCGTCCACCACACACACCTGTTTACCTGGGGGGAATAATATAATACTAATAATATATGCCATTTAGCAGACGCTTTTATTCAAAGCGACTTAGTCATGCGTGTTAACATTTTACGTACTGGTGGTCCCGGGAATAGAACCCTACTATCCTGGCGCTGCAAGCGCCATACTCTACAAACTGAGCTACAGGGGAACACAAACCCACTGTCTGTACACACAGGTGAAGGCACACACACACACAAAAATACATACATACACACACAACTTTGACACATATCAATCAGCAACATACCTTCTTCTCTGGCCTGTTGGATCCTTTCCTTGACGAGTAGAGCTATCTCCGGCCACACAATGTCGGTGAGGGCTTTCAACCTCTCCTGCAACAATAGTAATAATATTAATAATCATATATTACATTTGTAAAGCGCTTTCATTATACAATAATCATCTTAATGTGCATAAAATAAAAAATATATAACAACTGTTACAAGACAAAACAAGTATATATAACATATTGTTAAAACATACTGTGAGGATATCAGTTGATATAATGATTAACAGAAGCCGATGCCATTATGTCACATTAGAGACCAACTGAGAACACATTTTAGGCCCGATAACAATGTTTTGGGACAGAAGCCCACTAAGCGCCTTCAGATAGTATTCAGACCCCTTGACTTTTTCCACATTTTGTTACATTACAGCCTTATTCTAAAATGTATTAAATAAATACAAATCCTCAATCTACACGCAATACCCCATAATGAAGAAATTAAAACAGGTTTTTAGAAAGGTTTGCTAATTTATTAAAACAGAAAAAACAGACATACCTTATTTCCGTAAGTATTCAGATCCTTTGCTATGAGACTCGAAATTGAGCTCAGGTGCATCCTGTTTCCATTGATCATCCTTCTACAACTTGATTGATGTCCACCTGTGGTAAATTATATTGATTGGGCATGATTTGGAAAGGCAAACACCTGTCTATATAAGGTCCCACAGTTGACAGTGCATGTCAGAACAAAAACCAAGCGATGAGGTCGAAGGAATTGTCCGTAGAGCACCGACACAAGATTGTGTTGAGGCACAGATCTGGCGAAGGGTACCAAAATATTTTTGCAGCATTGAAGGTCCCCATGAACACAGTGGCCTCCATCATTTTTAAATGGAAGAAGTTTAGAACCACCAAGACTCTTCCTAGAGCTGGCCGCCTGGCCAAACTGAGCAATCGGGGGGTGGGGGGAAGGGCCTTGGTCAGGGAGGTGACCAAGAACCCGATGGTCACTTTGACAGAGCTCCAGAGTTCCTCTGTGGAGATGGGAGAACCTTCCAGAAAGACAACCATCTCTGTAGCACTCCACCAATCAGGCCTTTATGGTAGAGTGGCCAAACGGAAGCCACTCCTCAGTAAAAGGCACATGACAGCCCGCTTGGAGTTTGCCAAAAGGCATCTAAAAGACTCTCAGACCATGAGAAACAAGATTCTCTGGTCTGATGAAACCAAGATTGAACTCTTTGGCCTGAATGCCAAGCATCACATCTGGAAGAAACCTTGCACCATCCCTACGGTGAAGCATGGTGGTGGCAGCATCATGCTGTGGGGATGTTTTTTAGCGGCAGGGACTGGGAGACTTGTCAGGATCGGGGGAAAGATGATCGGAGCAAAGTACAGAAAGATCGTTGATGAAAACCTGCTCCAGAGCGCTCAGGACCTCAGACTGGGGGCGAAGGTTCACCTTCCAACAGGAGAACGACCCTAAGTACACAGCCAAGACAACGCAAGAGTGGCTTCGGGACAAGTCTCTGAATGTCCTTGAGTGGCTCAGCCAGAGGCCGGACTTGAACCCGATCAAACATCTCTGGAGGGACCTGAAAATAGCTGTGAAACGACGCTCCCCATCCAACCTGACAGATCTTGAGAGGACCTGCAGAGAAAAATGGGAGAAACTCCCCAAATACAGGTGTGCCAAGCTTGTGGCGTCATATCCAAGACAACTTGAGGCTGTAATCGCTGCCAAAGGTGCTTCAATAATGTACTGAGTAAAGGGTCTGAATACTTGTGTAAATGTGATATTTGCGTTTTTGTAAAGAAAAATGTTTTTGCTTTGTCATTATGGGGTTTTGTGTGTAGATTGATGAGTAGAAGAAGAAGGCTGTAACATAACAAAATGTGGAAAAAGTCAAGGGGTCTGAATACTTTCCGAATGCACTGTAGTTCACTTTTATTTTATAATCACTCAAATATCAAATCAATGGTGGCCAATACTGAGCGGTATCGTGAGGCTACCCTCACGCATCTGAAATTACATGATCAATTGATGTTTACTGATCGTGAAAGCAGTTACTTGCTGTATAACTTATACTTGCTGTATAAATGTGCGCAATTGTTTTGCATGGAATAATCGGAAATGTGAAGTTCTGACTTTGTTCTTCAAGTGGTGATGATATTACAACTAAATAGTTAACATTTATTTAACAATCCATTGAAAATGTCATGCAGTTGTCAATGGTTTTAGCGGAGCTGGGGGTCTCCTTGCTCCCCAGAAGGTAAATCGAATGCTCTGCACCTTATTGTGACGTTTTACTGATAACAACCTATTGAAGGGAAAGCTGTCCCCCTGGACTTTTACCAAGGACTTAACGGTACAGTAGGTAGCTACGTCTAGTAAATCAATAACAACTAAACGGATGAAGAAACAGAGTTTGGTTTCTTATTAGCTAGCTAACGTTAGCTAAGCTAACTATAAGACACCTTGACCTTTGCTAAAGAAATAGGACAATTTGAGGAAATATGTGTTTAGCTTATTTGTTAGCTAGTTACTTGCAGCTAGCTGGATAGCCAACTAGCTAACGTTAGTTAGCTAGCTATGTTAGTTAGCTATGATAATCACAACATTTGCAACACCACAGATAGCCAACAAGTAAAGCTCAACTCTGCGTTGATGTGAAGTAGCTACATCGTGGAGTTGAATTTTACTTGGCTAACGACGTAAACCCCGGAGTATTGTCAGCAGACTACACATTGAAATGACTACCATAACATACACAAACCATAGCTATCATTGAAGTATATCTCTAGCTGACTAAAAGACTGAGCACAGAGCAAGCTAGCTAACTAGCAAGGTAGGTTGCCATAAACTAGCTAGTACTGACACTAGCGTTCGTGCGTAGAAATAACAACAAACATGAAGTGACAATAGCTAGCTACTTTACCTTGTACAAATACTGCAGTGAGATAACGTCATTTAAGTGAAGATCTCGTCTGTAGCTAGGTACTCCAAATGGCTAACTACATTATTGCAGTACCACTGTCCAATATTGTTATTATTCTTTCGATAAAGACACCTAGATGGCTACCAGTTGGACATGGACAACATTCATTGGTTGAGAAATTGATATGGGGACAATATTTGCACATTATTCTTAAAAAAATTATTCAAGCTCTGTCAAGTTGGTTGTTGATCATTACTAGACAGCCATTTTCAAGTCTTGCCATTTAATTCAAAACTGTAACTAGGCCACTCAGGAACATTCTATGTCGACTTGGTAAACAACTCCATTGTATATTTGTTTTAGGTTATTGTCCTGCTGAAAGGTGAATTTGTCTCCCAGTGTCTGTTGGAAAGCAGACTGAACCAGGTTTTCCTCTAGGGTTTTGCTTTATTCCATTTCTTTTTATCCTAAAAAAACTCCCTAGTCCTTGCCGTGTAACAAGCATACCCATAACATGCTGCAGCCATCACCAAGCTTGAAAATATGGTACTCAGTTATGTGTTGGATTTGCCCCAGTTAATTTCTTTGCAACATTTTTTTGCAGTTTTACTTTAGTGCCTTATTGCAAACAGGATGTATGTTTTGGATATTCTGTACAGACTTCCTTCTTTTCACTCATTTAGGTTAGTATTGTGGAGTAACTACAACGTTGTTGATCCATCCTGAGTTTTCTCCTATCGTAGCCATTAAACTCTAACTGTTTTAAAGTCAACAAAGTCATGGTGAAATCACTGAGCGGTTTCTTTCTTCGGCAACTGAGTTTGGAAGGATGCCTGTATCTTTGTAGTGGCTTGGTGTATTGATACAACATCCAAAGTGTAATTAATAACTTCACCATGCTTAAAGGGATATTCAATGTCAGTTTTTGTTTTTTTTACCCATCTACCGATGGGTGCCCTTCTTTTCAAGGCATTGGAAAACCTCCCTGGTCTTTGTGGTTGAATCTGTGTTTGAAATTCACTGCTTGACTGAGGGACCTTACAGATAATTGTATATGCTTTTTGCATAAAATATTATCACATTTTATGTTTTCTCAAATATTATCAGGGTGTATTTCACACATGCCATACACGAACATTACCTTGTTTCCAAAAACTTTCCTGCCTAGTGCGCGTCTGTTGATAGTTTTGTCCTCATTAATAAGATCTGCAAACGATAAGAGTAATTCATTGAAACAGATGCTTTGGGTAAAGCATTACAGTATATCTGTTAAATAAATTATCCATTATACAGAATAAGATGACAGCTTCTGTCAGCTATGTGGACGGAGGACCCACCCGCACCTGATCCAAACTCCTCCAGCACCCTGTTGTAAGCAACCTCCCCCGGCCGGTAGGTTTCGTGGCCCAGCTGGTCGCTGTCGATGCGGACCGCACCCAGGGCCTCCAACCGCCGGGCGATGGAGCTCTTCCCGCTGCCGCTGCCCCCAGTCAGGCCAATCACGTAGGGCACCAGTGGGAGATGGGGCTTGTCCTGCTTCACAGGGGATCGGCAATAGGGGTGAAGGTGAACGGGGCATCAAAATGCATTAGCAGTCATATGGGGCCTTATGTGTAAGTGGTAAATAATCACACTAAATGTCTGACATATCATACATCTACGATCCTGACTATACACATAATTCAATCATATACTGACAACACTCACGTCCAATTAGACTACAATGAGATAAAGAGAAACTGAATTGTGAAAATCAGGCCTTGTGATACCTTATGCATCCCAACCATGTACTTGACAAAGCACTCACTGGCAATTACAGTGAATAGTAGTCTATCGTGTGACTGCAATTGCCACTGTGAAAGATCATTTGCGGTTAGCGAAGCTGGATGAATAGCATGTTTCTTCAGCTTGAGGAGAGACACAGAGTCCCTGAATATAGCCTTCTCTACCCTGGTAACCTTGCTGTAGTAACTATCATTTGTTATGAAAAAGCTGTGGTTGCATCCCTAATGGCCCCCTTTTTTCCTATATGTTGCACTACTTTTGACCAGAGCCTTAGTCAAAAGAAGTGCACTATACAGGGCAGGGATCATCAACTAGATTCAGCCGCGGGCCGATTTTTTTCATCAGCGGATGATCGGGGGGCCGGAACATAATTACAAATAATTAGTAAACTGCAAATTGACCGCAAGAAGCACAAACAGATATAATATGACTAAAACAACCATTTCAAACCTTGCTTACATTTGTCTACAATCACGTGCCATTCTATTATGCATGGGAATACGTGGGAACAGATTTCCAAAATTAAAATCACTTCGAGCTGATTTCCTGGTGTTTTTAGTCTTATGTCACACAATGAAAATAATAATAATAATAAAATACAAATAAAAACTTTGGGGGCCAAATAAAACCACACGAGGGCGGAATTCGGCCCGCCGGCCGCCAGTTGGGGAACCCTGATATAGGGAATAGGGTGCCATTTGGGACGCAGACCCTGTCTTTTGCATAGAGACAAAAAAGACTGAAAGTAGCCCTATGTTTTGCCGGTGTCAGCAACTGAAACTACTCTCAGGGGTACACAATACCCCTTTCTGTCTCAAATACCCAGTATAAATAAATTAGTGTGGTGTATGTGACACCCCAGAGCAGGCTGGAAGGGAAGAGGGGTAATGGGTGTACTTTTGGGTCTGTGAGGAGGGTCCCTAGGAGGCGTGAGCGGAGGCTGGAGGAGCTGATCTTCTCCTCCTCCATCTCAGTGTGGTGGGCATCCTTCAGAAGCTGGATCTCGTGCAGCACTAGTCCTGGAAGACCCTAATAGGGCAGACAGTTGATGACAAGACATCAGACACCAAGCCAGACATAACAAAGAGAATATATAGGCTACATTCAGCCAGACGTAACACAAACAATACATAGCCAGCCATCCCTCAGCCTGTGCTGTATCGAGGGGCCCACTCACAGAGTTCCTAAACCCAGAGGCGCAACATCACGAGACTTATAGAATATATAAATTATATCCATCCATGGTCCGCCACGGTTTATTATATCAGGTTGTTCCATTGAGGTCAAAATACCTATTTTTCAAGGGAGACCTGGCTGGCCATAACTTTGCAGAGTAAAAGGCGCACTTACATTTTCGAGGCGCTTCTTGTTCACAGCCTCGCCTCCCCTGCGGGTCTCCTCGCTGACCACAATGCATTGCAGCTGGGCGTCAATAACGGAGGGTCCAAAGGGGTCTGAGAGGGGCACGATCTCGTACTGCAGTGAGGGCTTGACATCCTGCAGGAACTCTTGGAGACGCTGCACCCGCAGGGCGTAGGGCTCAATTAGCTCCTTTAGCACCTTCTCTGAGGATAGGCGGAGGAAGATAAGAGAAAGAGAAGGTGGAGAAAGAGGAAGAGGAAGAAGAGGACGAAGAAGAAGAGGCAAGGAAAATGGCAGGGGAGGGGACATCAAACATTTTCTTTCCCTATCGTGCAAAAGTATCCGTAAATCCGCAGTCTTCAATGTCAAGGTCGAGTGCAGGGATTTTTCTGCCATTGTAAATTCATACATTTTTGTGATGGGAAAACGCTTTCAGTGTAAACTTAAACGACTAAAACCAGATATAAAGTATCAATCCCCAAAATAGAAACTATTGCAGTATTGATTTTGGTATTATGTTTGAGCAAAATAACACAGCATTAGCCATGGCAAAATGCATAGGAAATTAGCTTTAAAACTGCACAATTTTCTCTCAGCTCCAAGAATTTGAATAACAGAACATTGCCTTCAAAATTCACAAATGTCTCTACATTGTCAAGATGGGGGCCTCTAAAATGTTGCACCGCCGACGGTCCGCACTCCCTGCCAACACCTAAAACCCTTTTTGATCCAGAAGAAACCCTGGAGCACAGTGAATTTCAAAGTCATCTTAACAGTGACAATCCTTTATCAAAAATATCAGATTATATAGCCCATTATGGGGTAAGGAATACAATACCTTGTGTATGCATAGAAGACAAGGAGACCTAATAATGCCCAAAGAAACTTGTTTACACAGCAACCATTGTCCTTTCTCATCATTCCACTTACTTTTTAGAAGTTCTTGGTCACACACCCCGATAAGGAACCGCTTGTTCGCCAAGAGGCAAGAGATGTTCAGCAGCGTCTTGTGCGCCCCGTGGAGGCGGTCGAACGTTCCCCCTACCACCACCTCACCGTAAGTCTCCATGGGGTCCGACCTACTATCCCAGTCTTCCTTTTGGCCCTCCTTCTCTTCCTTCTCCACCTCTTCCTCCAGATTCTGCAGCTGCGGGTGGAGCAGCACTGAGGCCAAGCCGGGCGAGCAGACGTAACAGTGGCCGGCGTACCTCTGCAGACACTGGGCCACCAGCGGGGACTGGCATGGGTCCTGCAGGGCGAAGTCTGTTAGCACCACCTCGGGGGAGTGGGAGAGGGGCTGTGGGGAAGGGAAGGGGTTACCCGCTACCACTGTCCCACCTGTCTCTGGGCTGGAGGAGTTGTTGGACTGGGCGCGGACGTTGGTGAGGAGCACTCGTACGTCCAGGTGGCTGCACACGTTGGCAGCATTGCTGTAGAGCCCAGTGATAAGGCTGGACAGATCCACCACGGGCGGGATGAAGACAGGCCTGGGTTGGCCCCCGCCTGCACCCAGGTTCAGGCCCGGATGGAGATGGACGTAGAGGGTGCGCTCCACCACCTGGGCAGCTGAGCTGAGTACAGGGGCAATGCGCAGGGGGAGGGTGTGGAGGGGAGAGGTGAGCACCAGGATGCCCGTGCTGAACATGGACATGTTGGCCAGATGTGTCACAGGAGCAGGAACACACGCTTAGCACGATGTCTGGGGTATAGGGAAAGGTAGGGTCATACCATTAAAAAAAACATTGAGAAAACCTATACCTATTAATTAGTTAACTAGGCTAAAGGTCGTTATCAATAAAACGTCACAATACGGTGCAGAGCATTTGATTTGGCTGCTGGGGAGCAAGTAGAACCCCTGCTCCGCTAAAACCGTTTTTTTAATTTAACCTTTATTTTATCAGGTAGTCATACTGAGACCAAGGTCTCTTTTACAGATGAGCCCTGAATTACAGAAATTACAGAAAATACACACATTATAATATAATTACAAAATGCAAGCAGAAAGAAAACTAAAAGCTGATTTACCTAACTCAGTAGAGACCAAAGGAATTTCCAGAGTTAGCCATCCCAGAGACCCATAATAATGCACAGTGCGCTACGATAAACTGCATCTAACAGCTTTAATGAAGTGGCATCTGCGTTCACATAGATGATGTCGCCATAGTCTAGGACCGACAGGAACTTTGACTGAATAATCTGATTTGTACTATTTAGCGAGAGGCAGGACCTATTTCTATAGAATAAGCCCATTTTTATTCTCAGCTTCTTAACTAACTCATCAATGTGCTTTTAAAAATACAGATTTCATCTATCCAGATGCCCAGATATTTGTAAGCAGGGACACATTTAATATTGACACCTTCCAAAGTACATATGCTTAAATCAGTTATTTTTATGCGCTCTGGAGAACAACATATACTTAGTTTTACCTGCATTCAATACTAATTTCAGGTCAATCAAGTTTTTCTGTAATACAATGAAGGCAAACAGTAGTTTAGATAGAGCCCAGTCAACGGCATACACAACAGTATCATCAGCATTCAAGTGCAGGTTAAAAATAGTTTTGTCCTCCTCCTGGTAAAGTTGTAAATCGGACTACTGTCATCACCACTATAGACGGCAAGCAAATATAGCCATCTAGTCCCCTGAAAGATAGCTTGTTATATTGACGTTATCTCTTATTAGCTAGCTAGCCAATTTGACATATAGCCTATCATGTCTGTCAGCAGCAATCGTGATTAAACAGTCTTAAAAACAATGAAAAGGGGATAATGTTGTCTAACTTCGTTGGGTAGGCCTAACATGCTGACCACACCGCGTGCGTCCGCCATCACGCGCATGTTGATTTTTCCACCCACACCAGACACGATCAGGACATGCAGGTTGAAATATCAAAACAAACTCTGAACCAACTATATTAATTTGGGGACAGGTCGAAAAGCATTAAACATTTATGGCAATTTAGCTAGCTAGCTTGCTGTTGCTAGCTAATTTGTCCTGGGATATAACAATTGGGTGGTTATTTTATGGTAATGCACCATAAAGTTGGTTGCTAACCGCCATATAAAGTCCAAAGAAGAAGAAGTCTGAAGGAGGAGAGATTACTAGAAAACTAACTTTTACCGTTTTATCTGTGGATTAATTGTTGGAGTAGAGGACCTTGTGCATTTCAGGTAAAATAACAACCCAATGTTTATATCCCAGGATAAATTAGCTAGCAACAGCAAGCTAGCTAGCTAAATTGCCATAAATATTTAATGCTTTTCGACCTGTCCCGAAATTAACATTACTGGTTCAGTTTGTTTTGAAATTTTAACCTGTGTGTCCTGATCGCTTCTGGTGTGGGGGGACAAAATCTACTTGCGCGCGTGCGGTCTAGGTGACATATTACCAGTGTTGCCAACTCCTCAGTAAGGAAAGTAGCTATTGGCTGTCCTAAAAGTCGCTAAATGATGTCATCACCTAATTTGCATAATTGTCCATGTGCATGTAATTGTGATGGACGCTGTAGGAGAGAGGAATAACGTTGTGGGAGAGACAAAAAGTGAGTAAAAAACACCCTAAATATGTTTAGAACTACAAATGAACTTCCTTCTGTCGATTCTTGTTTTTTTTTATGTCACAATTCCAACCCTCCTCCTTTATCCAGGCTTGGGACCAGCAAAAGTGACCCAAAAGAGACACTCTGGCGGAGTTACTTTGTTTTTTTTTTTTTTTTTTTTTTTCGTTTTCTTAAGTTTGGTTTGGTTTTTAACCTTATGGTCCACTTAGGAGCCTACAACAAGTCACAGTAAAACATGAACATTTTTAACCATAACATTTTAAACATTTTTTTGTATACAATCTACATGAACAATCTAAATGGACCAAAAAGAGACAATAGAAAAAACTGTCAATGGCAATGTGAGAAAATGATGGTAACTAGTCTGGCCCTAATTCAGGTTAATTGTTGTTTTTTTCCAGACCCCCCTCCACACACACACAGGCTGTGCTGGCTCACAGAAAGAGTGGGTCATCGTCATTTTGGTCAAGGCGCTCTATGGCAGGTTCAGCAACTGAGGGAGCTGACTGAAATGAGTAAGCAGCTGATGTGCCAAAAAGCTGCAAAACATTATCAGGCAGCTGGTGCTCATAGCAAGCATCACCAGACAGCTTCAGTCCATATCAAATGTACAGGATGGAGTTAAGGGTCTGCAAGGACATCCGATTTCTAAGTTTGCTTTTTACCACACTCATCTGGCTGAATACTCTCTCGACTTCAGCATTCAAGTGTGGCAAGGACAACACAGACACGGCAGCCATGGCAAGTTCTTGAAACGGGTTGATATCAACTTCCAAATCTCACTCCTGAAGCCGAGTGTGTTTTTTGTCTCATTCCATTTACTAAGATGGATGGCATGCCATTGCTGGACAATCTTGTCTATCTCTGCAGGGGAGAAGCCAAGGAGCTTGGCTATTTTTTCTATTTCTCCAGGGCTCTTATTGTGCTTTAGAGTTTCCTCCACATTGAAAACTGACATGTACTGCAATGCTTCGATGTTGTCCAGCAGTCTCACCCTCAACTCATTAGTGAGGGAGATGGTGAAGGCTACACACCGCTTTCAGACATTTTTTTCATCCTCAGGCGCAAGGTGGAGCTCAGCTGCCTTTGACTCAAAAAGGTAACCAAGGTACGGTTTGGGACTGATGTATCCATCTATTGGCCCTTTGAGTACATCAACATTTGCCAGTGGATTCAGCACCCTGCTGTTCACAGACTTGATCAGGCTAACCAAGCTGTCAAGTAGCTTAAGAGGATCTACTTGCTCTCCCTCAAAAGACTTGATGGCCAACTGTACCTCACCCAGCACTGACTTCAAAAAAGTCAGATACAATATGTTTTGAGGATCACTGTACATGGAGTATAAAACCTCAGCCATGTAGCAGTGTTCACTGGACTTGGTGACTGTGAAATGCAGCCTAAGCTCCCCCCACTGGTCCAAAATGCGTGGTGAAACCACGGGTTCAATGGAGAGCCAACGTGTGGCACACACCTTGGTTATCTGTAAATGTTTCTCCCCACAGTTGATGGTCTCATATATGGCCTTGTAGGCCTCCCTGCGCTTTGGAGACACTGAAAACCAGTTATAAGTCTCTCGTACCAAGTACTCCACACTACGGGGGATGGTGTCATTGGAAGCATGACTTACAGCAAGCTGCAGCGAGTGGCACACACAGTGAATAAGAACCAGATCTTTGAGGCCATACTCCTCCTTCAGCACTTTATGGACCCCATTGTTAATCCCCGTCATAACAGAGGCATTGTCAGTCCATATCCCCAAGAGTTTCTCTTTTTTAAGACAACACTTCTCGGGGAAAGCCACAACAGCACGGGCTATAGATTTGGCATCTCCTACCTCCAACTCAACAAGCCCCAGAAATGTTGATACAATTGTCTGCTTGGTGTCACTAAAGTACCTTATCACAACCCCCAGGTACTTAGAAACACTTACATCCGTGGACTCATCGAGGAGGAGGCTGAAATGCTGGTCACCTACATCTGCGACCAACTTTTTCAGAAAGTATGGTGCTAGAACACCATTAATAATTTCTGTACACTTTGTCCTGTGCATTTTGAAGTGGGTAGTAGCAGTGGAGTCTGAGAAAGCAGCTCTACATGCTTCTCCAATGTGATCACATGCCAGCATGGAACAGTGTTCAGCGATAGCTAATGCCATGGTGGCCTCAGCCTTTTTTGCAGAGTAAATTTTTTTAAACCATAAATGGCAGCTTGTTTTGGGTGGAACTGTTATAAGTCTTTGCCTTTTGAGTATGTTTTTGAGTTGTCATGTGTTTTTTTTACATCACTAAGTTTGGCGTAGAAATCAGCCTTACAATACAGGCAGTATGCCCGTGTATCATCTCCAATAAACGGCTTCAACCAGCCTTTGAATTCCGGGTTTGATTCCCACTCCTTTCTGTATTTTTTAGTGTACAGTTTAGACTGAGACATGATGAGCTAGCCAGCTAGATGTTTAGCTTATGTCACAGAGAGGCACACACACAGTGGACGAGGTGAGTAAGTGACTGAGGCTGTGTGATTTATTTTTGTGCAGTGATTTATTTTAGACAAAGAACATTTTACATTTACATCCCGCCCTGAATGTAAGCTAGGGCGGGATCAGCCAGCGACTGCTTCCCGCATGCGCTATTAATTTGCAGTCTGGACCAGGAGGGATGAACAGCTCCTGCTCTGATTGCAACTGGCTGCTGCGCGAGGACTGGGCCGCCTGTGAGTGCTTTGGGACGGGTGTGGGGCCCATGGCAGCACCCGCTGCTAATTGAGAAGAGTAAGAACGATACGTGCTTTCACCTCAGTCTCCAATAACACCAGAAAAAGTCGCTAGTCGATTTTTTTTTATTTTTTATGTGTCGCTAGAGGGGTCTGAATACTCGCTAGATATAGCGACAAAGTCGCTAAATTGGCAACACTGCATGTTACAAATAGAACCAAAGTCTATTTTAGAGCCTGGCTACACATACGCTCATGAGCAGTGTGGGTGCAATGGTTGAATAACATGTATGTGTAAATTTATTTTGCAACGCACGCGAAGCGGGCAGTGTGGTCAGCATGTAACGTTACGTTAGTTGGAAAAGAAAATTACTTTAGGTCTACTTACCTATATGTTTAACCAACTGTGCAAAGTTTCTACTGGTAGATTGCAAAGTAGAAACATTATCAGCTAACAGTAGGTAGATTGCAAAGTATAAACGTTATCAGTATTGAGAGATGTAGTGAGGCTACACTCAAGTCCCTGAAATTACATTATCAATTTTGTTTACTGACCATGAAAGCAGTTACTTACGGTATATCTCTGCTGATTGTTTTGCATGGAATAATAGGACATGGGTAGTTCTGACTATGCTCTTCAAGAGGTGACGATATTACAACCAAATAGTTAACATTTATTTAACAATCCCTTCATCCGCACGCAGTTGTCAATGGTTTTAGCGACGCTGGGAAAGCTGTTATCCTGGCCTTTTACCAAGGATTTAACGGCACAGTAGGTAACTACGTCTGGTAAATCAATAACAACTAAACGGATGAAGACAGTTTGGTTTCTTATTAGCTAGTTAAGTTAAATATAAGACACCTTGACCTTCGCTAAACTAAATAAATATGTGTCTAGCTAGCTACTTAACTTGTTGTTTATTTGTTAGCTAGTTACTGGTACTTTCAGCTAGCTGGATAGGCAACTAGCTAACGTGAACTAGCTGGCTAGGTTAGTTAGTTATGATAATGACATTTGCAACACCCCGGATAGCCAACAAGTAAACTCAACTCCGCGCTGATGTGAAGTAGCTACATCGTGGAGTTGAGTTTTACTTGGTAACGACATAATTTACACACCGGAGTATTGTCAGCAGACTACACATTGAAATGACTACCATAACATATACTTCATTGATAGCTATGGGTTGTGTATCGCTAACGTTAGCTGACAAAAAAAACGAGCACCGCAAGCTAACGTAGCTAATTAGCAAGGTAGCTAGCTACTGTAGTAGGTTACCGTAAGCTAGCTAGCACTAACTCTAACGTTCGTGCGTAAAAATAACAATAAACATGAAGAGTGACAATAGCTAGCTACTTTACCTTGTACAAATACTGTAGCGAGGTAACGTCAGTTAAGTGAAAATCTCGTCTGTAACTGGCTACTCCCAATGGCTAACTACATTATTGTTGTACCACTGTCCAATATTGTTATTATTCTTTCGATAAAGAGACATGTCCATTTGACCTAGCTAGCTACCGGTTGCACATGGACAACATTCATTGGTTGATACATTGATTTGGGGATATCTGGGTAATGTAGTCAGGTAGCGAAAACGTCTAGCTATTAATTTCCATTTAATAATCAGCCGACAGAGGTCACTCTTCATATGTTGGTGCTATTTGTGAAATAAGAACTTAATCTACATTTCTGCTATTTATAGAATTGTACTGGTTCCATTTCATCATTTATATTACACTGATTATTGTTTAATTTGTAGGTTACATATTTTATTGCATCACACAGGAGTGTCATAACTGGAGACAGAAAGAATACAATCATACATTTACATTTACATTTTAGTCATTTAGCAGACGCTCTTATCCAGAGCGACTTGCAGTTAGTGAATACCTTATTTTTTTATTTTTTTATTTTTTTATATTTTTCGTTTATCTTAAAAAAAAAAAAAAAATATCATAGACTGGAAATGCACAGCAGGCCTACCACCTGTAAACCCTGCTTGTCATCTCAGCAATGCACTTTGGAATGAATCTCAACCCAGTCATGTTGCGATTTCCACCATCATAGACTATAATGTTTCCTTTAAAACAGATCAGAATGTCCTAACTTCAGTTCAACATTTATAAATTGCTCCAGGCCCGTAATCACAAATCATCTAAGAGTAGGAGTGCAGATCTAGGATCAGTTTTTCCTTTTAAGTCATGTTGGAAAAAGAGGTAGGACACACCCGTCTCACCTGTTTCTCAGTCCTTATTTCTGCTGAAGATGAGAAATCATGGCCTTTATCTGTATCCATTGTACAAAGATAACAGATACATGGCTGATCGTTACAGCAGTAAACATCCAGTAGGTTGATGGTTTGAAGACGTTGCATTGCATCAGCCTGGTTGTGCGCCACATCATCAACTGCACAGTCGGCATCCGATTGCCATATTGTGGTTAGCTGATATGTTTTCAATTTATTTGAGAAGAAATGGGGAATTATTTAAGAAAAGTGCAAGGGAAATAATATATTAGGACGCAACTGTATACATAAATACATTTATTGGAAATGAGCATCAAGATCATCACCGTGCACTTTCACCCCCCTGTGAAGTTCACCATAATGTATTTAATCTGTAGCCTAATAAACAGCTTTTCCAAGTCCTAAAGGGAGGACCAAACAACACAGCCTGGGCAGCCGCCAGTGGTCGCTATTTACCTGTCTTTTAAAATGTCCACCATCATCTGGACGCACATTGTAGGCTACATCGGCTAGCACACTAATTCGGCCCTTGAGCCAGCTGGTACATTAAACATGTTCTATTCAGACTGCAATGGCTTCAGTTTTATCCTTTACCAACTTTGAAGGTGAGCCGGCATATGTAGCGTATGGCGTCCAGCCAATCATTGCACTTTGTACAAACGGACTAGGGCATGACTCTTTGTTAAGGGTCACCTGATTGGCTGAACACTGTTAGCTACACCTAGCATAGAGGAGATTCTATTAATGGCTCTGGCCAGGCCCGGGTCAACCGGGTTGGCGTTGATTGCATTAGTTTTGGAACCGGGCTGCCTCGTGAGCCCGGTGCCCTGTCCTGGCTGACGGCGAAGTCGGCTCAAAACAAAAGTGAAGTAGGTTAAGCACGTGGAGTAATGAGTAGAATTCTGTGTTTTCACATACAAAAGTGATTGCTTTGACAAAACGTTTATTTACCTTCCTAATAAAAACTAGTTTGAAAATTCTAAACATACTGAACAAAAATATAAACCCAACATGTAAAGTGTTGGTCCCATGTTTTATGAGCAGAAATAAAAGATCCCAGACATTTTCATAGGCACAAAAAGCTAATTTCTCTCAGATTTTGTGCACCAATTTGTTTACATCACTGTTAGTGAGAATTTCTCCTTGGTCAAGATAATCCATCCACTTAACAGATGTGGCATATCAAGAGGCTGATTAAATGGCATGATCATTACACAGTTGCACCTTGTGCTGGGGACAATAAAAGGCCACTCTAAAATGTGCAGTTTTGTCACATAACACAATGCCATAGATGTCTTAAGTTTTGAGGGAGCGTGCAATTGGCGGTTGGATCATCAAATAATTGGCATTTACATCACTCTTACAGAATTTCCACGTGGGTGAGGATATTGGAAATTTAATTAAAGCCTACTGGATGACAACTTGTTTTTAACCAGGACAGAATAATTTATAACGGACTTTTTCCTACATAACATAGGTACAACAGATCCCCTTATTGTATGCCTTTAGAGGCCATGCAATTCAATACTCATTTTTTTAAAACAACATCAATTTAAGTCAAAATAATCCATATTAAGAAAGGAAATAGAGGGACTAACAGTACAGATAGATAGCAATAAAACAGCACCACGGAGGCACAGAATACATTAGAGGGAAAACTAAAAGAAATGGAGGAACTTATTCAAGAAAGATCAAGTGTAATATATTATAAAAATGAAGCAAACTGGATGGAATATGGGGAAAAACTCACAATTAAAAAAAAATCTTCAACATAGAAATGCTACCAAAAAGAACTTACTGAAACTTGTTACAAATGACGTGGTTACTCATGATTCACCAAACAATATTTTGAAAGAGGAAGGGAAGTACTTTAAGCATATGTTTTCATTTCAGTCTCCTCCATCTCCACTAACCGAAGTTAATTGTAAGGATTATTTTCCAATTAATAATGTAACATTAACAGCTGTACAGAAAGACTCATGTGAAGGCCAATTACAGAGGAGGATCTTCTTGATGCAATTAAAGCCTTTACGTTCGGTAAAACTCCAGGGCTGGATGGCATACCAGTTGAGGTATGCCAAACCTGTTTTGATGTACTCAGAGGACCGTTATTAGTATGTTTTAACCACTTCTATAAAAATTGTATATTTAAGCAATAAGGAACGAGGGGGTGTGGTATATGGCCAATATACCACGGCTAAGGGCTGTTCTTATGCACGACGCAATGCAGAGTGCCTGGATACAGCCCTTAGTTGTGGTATATTGGCCAAACACCACAAACCCCAGAGGTGCCTTATTGCTATTATAAACTGGTTACCAACGTAATTAGAGCAGAAAAATAAATGTTTTGTCATACCCGTGGTATCTGATATTACCATGGCTGTCAGCCAATCAGCATTCAGGGCTCAAACCACCCAGTTTATAACATCAGATACTCAACACGCTCGGATTTCATTATTACTGAAACAGGACCCAAGTGGTATATGTAAAGATCCAGTCCATTTAAAAAATTGGAGGCCCCTTACCCTTCAGTGTTGTGATGCAAAGGTTCTAGCAAAGTGCATAGCGCGAATTAAAAGGGTATTATCTGATATAACTATTCCACCTTTTGCAGAAATTACAGCTGCAAGTCTCTTGGGGTATGTCTCTATAAGCTTGGCACATCTAGCCACTGGTATTTTTGCCCATTCTTCAAGGCAAAACTGCTCCAGCTCCTTCAAGTTGGATGGGTTCCGCTGGTGTACAGCAATCTTTAAGTCATACCACAGATTCTCAATTGGATTGAGGTCTGGGCTTTGACTAGGCCATTCCAAGACATTTAAATGTTTCCCCTTAAACCACTCGAGTGTTGCTTTAGCAGTATGCTTAGGGTCATTGTCCTGCTGGAAGGTGAACCTCCGTCCCAGTCTCAAATCTCTGGAAGACTGAAACAGGTTTCCCTCAAGAATTTCCCTGTATTTAGTGCCATCCATCATTCCTTCAATTCTGACCAGTTTCCCAGTCCCTGCTGATGAAAAACATCCCCACAGCATGATGCTGCCACCACCATGCTTCACTGTGGGGATGGTGTTCTCGGGGTGATGAGAGGTGTTGGGTTTGCGCCAGACATAGTGTTTTCCTTGATGGCCAAAAATCAGAGTTCCTTCTTCCATATGTTTGGGGAGTCTCCCACATGCCTTTCAGCGAACACTAAACGTGTTTGCTTATTTCTTTCTTTAAGCAATGGCTTTTTTTTTGGCCACTCTTCCGTAAAGCCCAGCTCTGTGGAGTGTACGGCTTAAAGTGGTCTTATGGACAGATACTCCAATCTTCGCTGTGGAGCTTTGCAGCTCCTTCAGGGTTATCTTTGGTGTCTTTGTTGCCTCTCTGATTAATGCCCTCCTTGCCTGGTCCATGAGTTTTGGTTGGCGGCCCTCTCTTGGCAGGTTTGTTGTGGTGCCATATTCTTTCAGTTTCTTAATAATGGATTCAATGGTGCTCTGTGGGATGTTCAAAGTTTCAGATATTGTTTTGTAACCCAACCCTGATCTGTACTTCTCCACAACTTTGTCCCTGACCTGTTTGGAGAGCTCCTTGGTCTTCATGGTGCCGCTTGCTTGGTGGTGCCCCTTGCTTAGTGGTGTTGCAGACTCTGGGGGCCTTTTAGAACAGGTGTATATATACTGAGATCATGTGACAAATCATGTGACACTTAGATTGCACACAGGTGGACTTTATTTAACTAATTATGTGACTTCTGAAGGTAATTGGTTGCACCAGATCTTATTTAGGGGCTTCATAGCAAAGGGGGTGAATACATATGCACGCACCAGTTTTCCATAATTTATTTTTTAGAATTTTATGAAACAAGGTATATTTTTCATTTCACTTCACCAATTTGGAATATTTTGTTTATGTCCATTACATGCAATCAAAATAGTAATCCATTTAAATTACAGGTTGTAATGCAACAAAATAGGAAAAATGCCAAGGGGGATGAATACTTTTGCAAGGCACTGTACATGGACGAAACATTGGAGATAATATAAGACAAGTACCGGAAACAATAGAACACTATGAAAAATCTGGGAAACCAAGCCTGGTATTCAGAACTGACTCTAAAAAGGCTTTTGATAAAGTACGACTGGAATCTATATATAAATGCCTGGAATATTTCAATTTAGGAGAATCTCTTATACAATGGGTTAAAGTTATGTATAGTAACCCTAGGTGTAAAATAGTAAATAATGCCTACTTCTCAGAAAGTTTTAAACTGTCAAGAGGAGTAAAACAAGGTTGTCTT